TGGGGGGGGGGGGGGGAGGGGGGAGCACTGCTTGCACATATATATAGATGACTTGATAAAACTCTGAAGTTCAAGACACCTACTAAAAATCTTCAGGATATTGAGTATTCCAGAGATCTAGATATACATGTCATCAGCATTCATTCTAAATGTTTTCTTATTTTAATTTCAATTTGCATTTTTCATTTACAATGAATAAAATATCAGGTATTTTATTACATATTAGGACTAGCAAAACACTCAAAAAAATCAAGAACTTTTATTTCAGAAGAACCAGGTTCAAAGGCTGGAGGGTACAGATGCATGATAATTAAGGCGGCTGGGGGGTTGTGGCCATTTTCAGACTATATTGATCTCCTTTAGAAGAAGAGCTCTATATAACGATATACAAAAATGATCAAATTTTAAAAATAAAATGTATGAAATTTTTTTTTTACCAAATGATAGTTGACAGCTTAAGATATCATATCTAAAAAAATTAAGTTATATTTGATGGTTAATTTGTTGACCCCCCAGCCTCCTTAAGAGAAAAGATCAGGACTGGCACCCAACTTTGGCAAATCCAAAAATTTTATAAATAAAGTTATAGCCATTAAGAATTACCTTTATTTTGTAAAATGACAAAAGAGTATATTATTTATAAAAGCAAATTATGCTACATATTTAATTGTCATTTGATATACTTTCTACGTCTAAATTTTTCCTGTATATTTTAGCACTCATAATGTTTTCCCCTACAGTATGAGACATTGGTTTTATTGTAAACATTGAAATTTATGGGTATGGGGGTAATTTATACTAAATACATCATTTGAAAAATTTTGCATAATTATCCCCCTTGTGAACCAAAGCCTTTATACATGTTTTATTCAGTTTTTATCAATATGTTATTCAAGTATTGTGGAAATAACCCAAATATGAAATAAGGTACTATTTTGCATAATTAACAACATGCGTAAATATACAAGTTTAAAATAGTACATATGTCTTTCTTCAACATAACCTGAAAAACATCACATATGGAACACTGTTCAAGGCATCACTCTCACCAGAAGGCATTCCAGAGATTTTAAGAAATTCATGCTTGAATGATTGATAATATTATACTATGGTCATACTTACTAGTTTTCGGATCCAAAGAAAAACACAAAGTGGTGCACTTTCTTGTTATTGGCAGGCTTCTTCACTTCAGGCTTAGGCTCTATAATCTACAAATGTAAATATTAATGTAAATATGATTATTTATAGAGATGATTTCATATGGTTAATGGTGATACAATTCAATTGCTTCAATTATTATACTTTAAGAGAACTTTTTAAAAGATGAAACTACACTTGACTCCATTTTATTTTAACAGTGCTATGCAAAATTTAAAATTGAACAAAAATAAATTACCATTTATTATTCTATTATATGAATAAGCTTAGAAGTACAGACCTATTTACATTGAGAGGCATTTTTGAAAATGGAATAGTCATATTTTTTCAATCTTGCATTTCTGAGAGGTTTGCACCCTCTTGAAATTCAAAAGAAACTCTTAATATGATCTGCACCTATATACCAAGAACAAAGAAGGTTTTGTTTTGTAATTTTGATGCAAGCATCTATTTTGTTTAAAAAAGAATGGAGGTATACAAGACAAGCACAATCCCCACAATAGAATGGAGACTTAACCCATTCATGTTCAAAAATCAATTTTTATTGCCTCAACAGATCCATTTCCCACTTAAATATATATACAGGTTTCTCCCTAGGCATTGAAATAGGAGGGGACATTAAAAAAGTAAAAGGGGTTCTGGGGTTCTTTCCCTAACAGAGAGTTTAGGGGGAGTACCAGAATTACTGGGGGGATAATATCTTTATAGGCAGGGAAATTCCCCAGCCCCTGGGTCTTAGGGACAACCTTGTATATAAATCAAATTTTTTAAAAAAAAATTCTTATTTTCTTATATATATGTGTGTCCTTTATAAAAGCTTCATTTGGAATTTTTCAACAAGCTATCACTTAAATATTATTTTGGTAATTGTATGGTATGGATCAAAATATGGTTGTTATAACATGATTCTCAAGTGACGCAATATGAAAAAAAAATCAAAACTGAGAGACGTGCAGGTATAGTCCATTATCTTTTAAACAATACATCCATATGTATTCATCAAAGAGGACTCACCAAAAAGGCAAAAAAAAAAATGAATTTGAATTCGTGTTGCTTTAAATATCAACTCACCCTACGGCATCATTATTTGTTTTGAATTACCTCCCTTTCAACGCTGATACATTAAAATCATTCTGCCCTTCTCAAAACAGACGTATGTTTGTTGATTCATTGTTATCAAATGGGAGATCAGTGGAGGTTCAATGTGATTATTAAGAAATATTTATCAAAAATTTGGCTGAAAATATGCTGGGTATTACGAATGGGCAGGTAACTCTGAGTAAGTCTAGAAGATAAACCGGAGAAGAGTCGGTGCTCGTGCTTACCTTTCCCGGCCATGCCGGAAATCCCTTCATCTTTGCCCTGCAAGTATAGATATAAAATTAATACCAAAACATTTCTGACCTGCAAAACCACTGATGAAACAAAAGAACGTGTGATCTGCACTGTTTTCTTACCACACCAAATCGTCGATTTCAAAACCAGTCGCCATGATTATTGGAATTATGGGACAGTTTATTCTAAATGGCGTGGGTAGAATTGCAGAAGGTAGGATTCTAAAAATCCGGATACCCTCTCTCCCCCCCCCCCCCCCCTCTCTGATTTTTGGATTCTTTAAAACTTTTTTTTTTAATTTTGTTTCATTTATCGTTCTCCCCCTTTCTGCTTTTTTAAAATAAAATATTTTCTCCCTCAAAATACGACGCATACGCAACTCAAGTAAAATATTCTACACACACGACAGGACTAGGTACCATTGCATTATTCAGGCTGTTTCTGTCAACATCAGCAAGAATATATGAAAGATCACTTTAAAGAGACCTGAACACAGTTGCATTGTTTACATTTTAAATTTCTATGCTTATTCAAAACAAAAACAAAAAAAGAGAAATAAAATAAAGATAAACCAGTTAAATAAATTAAACTTAAATGAATATTCTTAGAATTTTATCAGGCCCGTAGGAAGCAATTTCACTTTGAGGGGGCACAAACATACATTTTCATTTGGGGGGCACTATCAACTACCAAAATTCCTTGACAAGCAAAAAAAGGTCATCAGACGTTATTATTGAGGGGGCACAAGCTATAGTATTCTATATATCGGCAAAATTATTGGGGGGGGCACGCCCCCCCCGTGCCCCCCCCCCCGGTTCCTACGGCCATGTTTATAACAACGAAATTCTTCTTTACATCAGGTCAAACAAATGTTTTTGTGAATATGGTACAAGCTCTGCTATTGTTGATGTTTACGTTTCACCGGGTTTGTTCGATTTGTTAAACTATGCACACATCACTGATCACGGACTGACAATAGTGGTGAGTTGGTTTTGCTTTCTCACATTTCTACTCTAAATTTTCTGGAATATAGTTTTAATATTTTTCATTTATACAGAATAAAATTTCTACTTTTCTTAAGTATTGTTTATTTGTGAAAGTGCAAGGATGTCTCAATCAAACGCGTCCCGAAATTCGTAGTTTCAATAATTTAATAAAAAGATTTTGAACATACTTTCTTATTTTTCAGTGTGAAATGCTATAGCAACATCGGTGTTAAATTATGATATTTTACAGAAAACTTGAGAAAGTATGAACTTCAAATCTGTGTAGAAGCCCCTTAAATTAAAAACGAGATATTTAATTATACTGTTTAAACGAAATAACACAAACCTTCAACCAACAGGATGCGTAGCATTTTATTCATCAGAAATAAAGATATAAATAACATAATTTTTTTTAAAGTTTTTTTCTAAGAATCTGAAATAATATTTATTAAGTATGTGCATACCGTTAATTTCACGCCTCCTTCCCACCCCCTTTCACCGCTCCTTTATGCTTTGAACAAGTTCAATCTTCTGGGAGCAATTTGAGAATTGAAAAAAGGACGATAAAGAAAATGAAACTCACATTTGTTTCTCCTTCCAAATTGTTCACTGTGACCGAGAGGCGTAGAGGTAGATCAAAGCTTTATTTATTTATTTATTTATTTGGTTTTTTTTATTTGTTTGTTTTCCAAGAGTATGGTAAATACATATAAACTAAGTTACTATGTATTATCGTAATACTTATGTATGTAGCAAGTGAAACAGGGGAAATCTAGGTGATGAGGACGGTCAATCTGTGGACCTAAACGAATGAAAATTTCAATTCTTAAAATAAAAGGGAAAAAATGTAAAAGAAAATATAAGAATTTTTATTTTATAAGGGCAAAAATATAGTTCTCTCTGCAGACTATTACACAGCCTTTAATTTTATTTCATATTTATTTAACTTTTTAAAATTTTGCATACATGAATACATGAAAAATAGTTTTATATTAGGCCATCTTAAAAAAAAATGTTAGTTTGCCTTCTCCCGACCGACTGACTGAAAACGGCCCGACTCATTTTTTTTAACCTCAGGAAACAATTACTTTTTTAAAATTAATTCCGAAAATTTCTCCTCCCATTATTAACTTCATATTCATAAGTTATTTTTTAATAATAAAAAAAACTTACCTACCGATACCCACTTTTTATCCTGAGTTTTCACATTGTTAAAGATTGCACGGACACTGGAATCGCACACACTCGGAGCTTTCCGGTGCAACTTGTTAGTTCGTATACATGACGGAAAGGTCCGAGGAAATACGAAAGCCTATTTACTCCTCCTGACCTCACTCCGATGTAATAAGAATGATTTGAAGTTACATTTATGAAAAATATCCGAATAATAACAAAAGTAACTAGATCATGTTGATTTTTGTATCAACAATTCTTAGAAGAACAAAACAAAACAATTATTGCTTAGATACATATTTTAAAGAATCTTTTTGTATTTATGTTGACGTCGCGGAAGAATTTGCCTTATTTCCGAACATCTGTAAATAGGGTAATAATGGAGGAAAACTGCTGAATACTCCAGAAATTATATTTATCTTTGTGAAAATTTTCATATCTCTGTCTACGAATGACTGATGGAACTTCCAATGTTCATACCAAAACTTGTTTGTACAGAGCATCGACTTTAATCAGTTTAGTGTTGTGAAACGTACATGGAACTTGTGTCATAATGTAGACGAAATAGACATATTGGGACCACTTCTTCGTGGAATGACATGAAGTCACAAACATTATCTCTAAATTCCTAAGTCTGTATATTGGAAACAGTCATAAAATTTATTGAAATCACAATGGACCACACAAGGAACAGGTACGTTGATAACCAAATATATCCCTAAAAGCACTACATCCATATATGGAGCGTTGAACTGTTTGACATCTCTGCATGGCCTTGTTCAGATATGCTAGACAACAAATCAGACACCAAAGAAAGTGAACTACCCGACCCGACTTTTCACTATTCTTGCTTAAAGACACGTTTACATGCATATTTTCATATCAACTAGTTTTCACTGAGAATTTTAGATTTGTGGTTCAATATATGTGCCATTGATATGTTTACTATGCACACACAATTATTTTTTTTAAAAATTATTAATGGAATTCTGTTTTTATGACAAATCACTAGGGAAGAAGTATCCTGACAACTTCCTGAGAATTTAGAGTTAAATGTCTTGGTAACAAATAATTTCAGAGTTAAATATATCTTCAGTAAGTGTTGAAAAGTTCTCTCTAAATATTAAAATACAAAGGCAGATGCTGGACAAAAGTAAACATGGGATATGCTCATGAGGTTCGAGTATTGTCATGACAATTGCTAGTGCTCAAACATGTACCACAGACACTGGGTCATTCAGTGTTCAACTAGTAAATATTCCACTTCAATATGAATTATCAGCTCGAGGTAGAATGAAAACTACTGTAATCACTGGATTTCCAAAGAAAACTACCCCCGGCAAAACACCCTTTAAATTTTGGTCAGAGATCTTACCCCTCTTTCAATATTTTTTTGAGAAAAAGTTAAAAATGAAACTTTCCGAAAGTATAAAAGAATGTGCCCCCTAAATTTGATATTGAACATCTCTAATCTTCACTCTCTTCTTTCCCCTCCCTCCCCCTTATTAAGAAAAAAACGACTACAAGTTGAGCTGCCCCAAACATCGGTTGGATATATTATTGGCATGTACATATTGTAAATGCCTCAGTAATGATCAATTTCCAAGAATTTTAGAAGGCCTCAGTTTTGGTTTCTGTCCTTTGTATATCTCCGAAGAATAGACTTCTGTAGCTCACATATTTCAGAATCTACAATGATTGTTATCAAACCGAATTTATTATATATCTACAATCAAACAGAACTAAATGCCTTAGAAAGCTTATAACTCATGTTTGATAGACATCTGGCATTCTTAGTTTTGAAAAAATCATTGTGATTTTGAAAACTTTCACAGGTATCGTAAGAGAATTTTTGAGTGAAATTGACTTTATTGAAGCATCTAGCATTATTTATTTTGTCACAAGTAAGTTTGGGTGGAAAAAATATTTTTGTCTCAAAATTTGCTTGCAAAACACAAGTATCTGTTGAAAAAAACTTAAGGTGCCTTAGTGCTAGGAATTTTAAAGTAAAAACTGCAGGTTTTTCAGAAGAGACATTAAAAAACAAGTATCCAGGCATTGGCAGGATGAAGATCCTTCACGACTCCAAAGCCCTGAGTGTCCTTTAATATCTATGATGTCACTCTTTTGTTTGAGCGCTCCATTACTCTAAAGGAATGGAGGGATACAATTTACATTGAAAACAGTGTTTGTTATGTACAAATTCTCCTTCTTGTGCCCCCACCTGGGCAAGACCTTAGTAAATTTTATAAAATTATAATTTCATATTAAGAAAAAGCTTTCTGGGGGGGAGGGGGCGGGGGGGGGGGGGGGGGGGGAGTTGGACTCAGTACCTTCACTATCAAAGTCAGAAACTCGTCTCACTACACTATAGAAGTGTTGAAGAATTGTGGATTTAAATAAATTCAGTAAACTATTTTTTTCCTATACACTCTATTTAAAATAAATACCACTAATAAGTTAAGTTTATATTTATCAGCATTTAAAACAGTGGATTTTAAGCAGTTCAGTATATTCACAGTCATAGCACCATTCCTTAAAAGCAATGGTCTTGGCCTCTTCGGGGCCCTGGCTCCCTTACACTTAAGGAGTGCTACTTCTACATTACCCCTTACATATAGGTCTAAATTTGAGTCCCTTCATCAGCATATGGTGACATTTCATATGAGTGAAGTAATCTTACAAGGAATGTAAAACTACAAACAATCAATCAATTGTATTTAAATTATACTTTATTGCACTTTTCTATCACATACTTCTGCAAGAAAATTCAATAGATACAGATATTCTCCTACATATAAACATGATATTCTTATTATCATATCCTACATGTGAAATGAGCAAGTAAGGTTGTTCAGGAAATAAGTGCATGAATGCTTTCATTTGAAGTACACTTGTATTACCATATTCAGTTTTGTGTACAATTTTATAAAGTATCTTAATAATTTGGTTTTGAAGCAGTGATTAATTGATGCCCTTTAAAGTGATAAGTTTTTTTTTATGTCCCTTTCACTGGAAATAATTTGTATGTGTAACTTAGATAGTAACAGTTAAGTGGTAGAGTTCTCTGCAGTCAAAACAGTTTGGTTTAATAAATCATTTGTTCTTTGCAACTTCATGTGTTATACAATGTGTGCATACAAATTTTTTAAAACATTCATTATTGTGTTTATTCAATTTTTTTTGAACACCTGTTTTAACTTATTATCCCCTCAAAATTGGAAGGGATATATATAGTAGTGTCCTTGTGTGTGTGTGTGAATCAGTGCATGTTTGCGTAACGGAAGTTACGCAAGTTATGCAAGTAATAATTCACGTCGGGATTGATGGAGGGAATGCTCTGCTTTGTGGTGCCCTTGTTACTCTATATTTACAAAAGCAATTATTTATGCATATTTTTGCATAGGTACAATTTTACATGTAAATCATACTAAACTGCATGTACTGTAAACCAACTATTATTTGCGTCATCTTTTATGCACGATTTGTCAGTTTGAAATCAATACACGACGATTAGTTTTAGCGACTTAGGGAATATTCTTTATTAAAACAAAGCAAAATAAATGGTTCACAGTGTTTAATATTCGCGAGTTAAAGTAGGTCGCGAAACTCGCGGATATTTCTTGCACGCGAATAAAATTTAGTTTACAGTATATTGTAAATCAGTTCATACCTCAGTGTTATTTTTTTCTTAAATATTCAATGCCTTGTTCAAAGTGTGACATTTCTTGAGAACTATATATATATATATATATATATATATATATATATATATATATATATATATATATATATATATATATATATCTATATATATATATATATATAGTTGTAATATTTTTGAATTTGGGCCATTAGTCTACTTATGACATTGCCCTGTAATGGTCCTGATGTGGGAGGAACTGTCAGGGTTGAATCTTGTTATTAAGTATAAATAGTTCTAAGTTAGGCCATTGATCAAGACACAGATGTGTTAGTTCTGATGTAAGGTTAAAGATCATGATGTGATCTTGCTTGGTAGTATTTGAAATGATTTGGAGCCAGTGGTCAACTTGTGGCTTTTCTAGATACAGGTAACTCTCGATACCTCGAAGTTCGCGGGACCAAGGAAAAACTTCGAGAGATCAAGAGTTCGAGTTTTCAAGAGTCCGGAATTTTCCGGGTTTGTTGACAGGTTTTAAAATTAGTCTTACCGGATATAACGATTTTCACGCAGTGATAACCTTTTACACGTGGTTTTTATAAAACAACAATATTTTTTCATACTTTAGATGAATATTTCATTAAACTGAGTAAAGCAAAAATGTATATCGTCATTTCATGTATATTTATTTAGTTTTTTAATACGGACATCATACTACGCATTCGTTACACGAAAACGACATTTTACAGCGTCTTACATGTATAGCATTGACTATTCCAAACATGATCATTGAGCGCAGTTCTGTAAGTATTCATCCAATAATAGCCGTCATATTGACATTGAGGCTGTTTCTGCTTTTTCATATTTCGTTTAACTTTGACACTGACTCGAAATAAAAATTTAAATTAGTGTTTCGTCTTTTAATCAATTACTACTTTTCACTGACACTGCCTCTCTAAATTATCGTAAGACAGTTGACGATAATTTTTTAACAGCATACAGGCAAAAAATGATTAATTATAAATCAATTATCACCTTGCAGCATAGTCTTACCTTAATAAACATCCCGTTCCTCTAGACCCGCGTCTTCTGCCTGGGGCCATTTAAATGTCTAGGTAAAGGTGCTAATTATATAACCTTGTATACACAAAGCCACTTCGAGGGTATCGAGGGGAAATTATAATAGAATATGCATAGCGGGACTGCATTTTGACTTCGAGGGATCAAGGGTTTCGAGAGATCAAGAGTTCGAGAAATCAAGAGTAAATTTGCTTAGTTATAATGGGGAAAAATTCGGGACCGAAGATTCACTTCGAGCGATCAAGAACTTCGAGAGATCAAAGTTCGAGCCATCAAGAGTTACCTGTAGTATGAATATAATTCATGTTGTTGATTTGCTGGTTATACTATGGTAGATCTGAAGTGAGGCAATTGATGTAGTTGTGGCCCTGCTTTGTGATACATGTAGCATGTAGTCCTGATGTATGGCCACCAGAGAAGAGTTTCACTGTGGAGCCATCAGTCAAAGTATTTTTTTTCCTAGTTAAGAGTTCTGATGCAGGGTTTGGTAATGGTTTACACTCATTAAGTAGGAATGACACCCCCCTCCCCCCCTGAGCACAACATTATTACATTTAGGACTAACCCCCCCCCCCCCCCCCCCCCCCACTATTATTACATTACATTAATATAAACACTAACATTATTTTGAAACATGATGTCCTTGTTATAAATAGGACTATAACTTTTCAAATGAATTAAATTCTTAAAATTTTTTATTGTGAGTGCTGAGGTTATCATCTTTGTTTTCTTCCTTGAAATATTGCAGAATGGAACCTTTAACAATGTTTCAGATAAAATACTCCTTGCTTATGTTACCCCACTTTTGTGCAATGTCAGTTTGGAATACATTTGTGGATCATTCTGATACATCAAAAGCAGTGTAAGGTTTAGTCATTTGGTGTTTTTGTAAATTTGGGTCAACTATCTATTTAATGTAGGTATATATGGTGATAAATGAATACAGGTGAGGTAAAAGCAGTCCCCATTCCCTTTAACTTACCTAATTGTTGATTAATTAAAATACCAATCTAGAGCATGACCAACATATGCACACATTTCTTTTGAATATTTTATAGACTTTCAGACTAGTTACATCTGATTTGCTATTGTTTTTGTTTCATTTGAAGTATTTTTTTTTTAGCAAAGCAGACATACTTGAAGTCTGCTAATTTAAACTGCACGCTTAGTTGTAATTTTAAGAAATCTGTAATACAGAAGTAATATAGGAGAAAAAAAGAAATGAAGCTTTTGGAGTGAAGTTTTGTATTCTATATAAAGACTTTTCTTACAAAATCTGTAGACAAAGGGAAAGGAAAAAGTAGCACTATTTTCTCATTTATCTATACTTGTCTGTGACACTATGGAGTGAGAAACCAATGCCAAGTCAGCATGAATTAGCCAAGATCTGGGAGATTGTTCATTACAGGCTCATATATATTTCTCTCTGTTTCTCAGAGTTATAGTAACTGTTGTATCTAAACTCTGGCTTTGCCAGTGTGCCGCATTTCACATGTTCTCAAGTTTTTGGCTTCTTTGGTTTTTAGATTTTATAAATTGATACAAATGAACACACACACGATTGTTTATTATTGTGAATGAAGAACAATATTAAGGTGAAATTATTTCATAAAGAATTTCTTTAGTATTGAATCATTTAATTTGTTTAATTAGCTTGAGCCTTTCAATTCCGGTAAAATTTTTCGTTTAGTAAATATAAGTTGCAATAAACTGCTGTACCCATAAGATTGTAGATTTCTTGATAGCTAAGGCAGATGTACTGTTTAATAGTAGCTTTACACTCATGTAAACTGTACACTGGTCATAAATTTCAGAGTAGTCTTTTTGACATTTAATGCCCAAGTGCTGGCAAACAATAATCCAGTAGCCTATCCACATATTTAGAGGAGTTATCTGGTGAAATGATCATGATGTTGAGTTCAATCATGTAAATAATGACACTGTGTTCCAAATTGACAAAGATGAAGGTCATAGATGAAATGAAAATAATCACTCTTTGTTTGAAGATTTTTATTTCACAAAAGATTAATTTAACTGTGTAAGTTAAAAAAACAAACAAAATTTTCAAAATATTCATGCTGACCTATGATAATTTTCTTAATGCATAATTATACCCCAACAAGTTGCGTGAGGTATAATGTTTTTGACCCGTCAGTCAGTGTGTCAGTCATTCAGTGTGTCAGTCAGTCCGTCAGTCCTGTTTTTCTGTCAGCGCAACTCCTCATAAACCGCTGCACAGAATTTTGTCAAACTTTGCAGATATTTAAGACACAATTTGTAGATGTGCATATTACCAGGAAATTCCGATTCCTTTATTTTTTCTGGAAATTTCGGCACTTTTCAACTTAGATTTTTAGCCATATCTTGAATATAGAGATGAATAGTGTGTATTTAAAATGCACTGTGCCATTCATTACGTGTTGCATTGTCGAGTTTTGGGGGAGAGTGGGGTATGTGAGCTTGCTCACTTTTTCTTTCATTTTATAAACAATGTGTTTTATTTAAAATGTATTAAAAAGCATTGTTATACCCACATGCAAGTGGGGGCTGGCCCCAAGTACCCATGTGCTTATACCTTTAAAAAATTGTTAAAACTTTGTGTAAAAATCAATACTACCAGTAATTAAAGTATAACATTTTCAACATTTTACTAAGCGGTCATAAAAAATCTGTGTTTGAAATGAGATATTGGACCGCTTACATCACACAATGGGCGGGATCAGCTAAATCTCATTTGCATTCGTTGATGTTTGACATACATGTATGTCCAAAAAAAGATAATAATAAAATAAATAAATTAAAGGTATAAGTTATAACAAAGCATTTATGGACTGTGTACTTGGGCACAATATACATTTATTGACTGGGTTCGAGGGCATTAGGCCTCAGGCAAACAGTTATGTTCAAGGGGTCGAAATGCATTTTGCCCGAGACCACAGTCAATAAATGTTTTGTTATACCTTTTACTTTTTATTTTGACATAACATGATGTAAATTTTGTTTACCCGCACTGCGGTCTAAACTTGGTCAATTCTGTAAAGTTCTGTCAAATTCCAACGAATGCAAATAAGATACAGCTGACCCCGCCCACAATGTGACGTAAGCGGTCCGACATCTCATAGACAGGTCCAATATCTCGCTCTGCGATCAAACATCGATTTTTTTATGACCGCTCAGTAAAACTAAGGGCCTAAGGCAAACAGTTTGGTTCTTGGGTCCGATGAAACGCATGTTGCCCTTGAACCCTGTCAATAAATGTATACTGTAGGCTATTAAAAACTTTTCATTTCAGTGGAAGTAGACAGGAATGAAAATTAAGATTTTTTTTTCAAACTATAGTATGAAAGAGCTGTATGCAGACCTCAATTTTCATAACTGTTATCAACACATGACAAAGCAAGAAACTTATTAATTAGCTATTAACTGACATATGTAGTACATAGAATAATGCTTTTCATATGCTATACAGAAATATGTGGGAATTTGTATGTTTATGATGTTAAACATGTTAAGAATCTGTCTAAATCATAATGATGAATTTGCACTTGGTGCAGTTTAAACATATTGCTTAAAGTTAAGATGAAAATCAACCATTTTTTTTTTAGTCTTTTGAAGTATATTTTATATAAGTGTATTGCTTGCCAAGTTTTGCCTTGATATTTCTGTGTTTTTTGGTATGATCTTGAACTTCTACTGGTCTTACCTTATTTCCCAAGGACAGTTGTGAAAAGAATAATATACTGTCATATTTGGGTCAGTAAAACTGTGTGTTTATTTGACATTAATCATGTGATTATTGCAGAGAGGGAAAAATATGAAGATTTTAGTACTTTGAATTTATGGAGCATGGTGGCATGGTATAGGGGCAGCTAATGTCTAGTAGTGCAGGGAAATCTCATATATATTATCTGTTTGCATTTACTGAACAGCATTATTCATAAATCATCATGACTAGTGTATGTGTCATTATAAGACATTAGAATATTCATTACTACATTCAATTCAACATGGAAATTACTGTTAACAGTCTTTACTGAATTTGCCCAAATAAGCACCCATGAGCCTGATTCATGGTGATTTTCATTGAAAAAAAGAAATGCTGCCCTCACCCTTCCCACCCCCTCCCCTTACTAACATTTGAGGCAAATTTCCAACAATGTCACTGTTTTCAGTAATTAATCCACAGATTGAATTGTGTGTCTAGAATTTCCCTACCAATTGGTTCCAAAACATCTCAGTATCCATGAAAACTCCTGGCTTTGATACAAAAAATGCACACAAAAACAAAAGTGAATGAAAATTCTTTTACCTAGACTTTCATGATATGATTTAAATAGTGGATGATGGGTTTTAAATAACCAAGTAAAATTGTAAGATTGAACATAAATAAAGGTTTATGTGATCTTACTGATAAACTTTCCATTAGTGATTTAACCTGGTCATTGGTAAGCCCTACTGAATGTCCCTGTATCATTCGAAGAACATCATCTGTGATTAATTTTTATCCATCCTGCATTGTACATTAGTAAAAAGCATATTTAAATTCTTGTCAGTTAATTTTATTTTCCATAAAAGGAACAAGATAGTCTAATAAAGACAAACCTGTACGTTTTCTTATCAGTGTGTTTTGATATGTTTATCCTTTTTTATGTACCATAATTTATCAAAGGTAAATCTAAGGACTAGCTTTTTCAATATTTTGAAGTGCCTTAGCCCTAGGCTCTTATTGGGGCATATTTGGTAAGCATGTGTATGGATTTAACATGTTAGCCCATGTAAGATAACTTTATCTCTTGAGAATGCAGAAATAGATTATAAGTACTAATGATAAAGTCTAAGAAGATCCTCTTATTTTTCATTTAGTAGATTAATATGTCGATGAAGATATTGGTATTAATTTTGCTGTTGTCATTCACAATGTGCATGAAGGTGAATGACTTCAAGCCATAATATTATGAATATAGTTATACTTCAGTGGTATCTTTGTAGGCATGAAGACATTATCTTTAATATGATATACACTGTATATCTTTGATGATTGATTGATTGTGAAAAATTTAGTAGAAAATGCATTTTCTCTGCAAGATTCAGCATTTGGCAGATGTTGAATTTATCCAGTAGTAGCATTGATTGGTAACCAATCCTACAGTGTTATCGTTTTGAAATTAAAAAAAAAAAAGTTAATACACTTAACAGACAGAAGCAAAGGTAGTATGTGGTGATTCATTAGTTAAAATGTTCATTTAATTGTAGTATGGAGATCAAAAAAGAGCAGGCTCGGAGAGAAAGGGAAAACCAGGCCCGCAAATTTATGGAAGGACAGAGGAAGAATGATATTGTCGCTAACACTTGTCTCTTCTCTGAGCCAGTGAAAAAGGTACCACATATTTAATAAGTATTCCCTTAACCATTTAATCCACTGAACTCAACAGGCTGAAGTAATTTTTAATGAATTAAAAGTCTTAATCAGTTAAAGATCTGCAAGTCAAGCTACTCATAAACTTCTTAAGCAAGTTGGTCATATACATATGTGTTTGTCCATGATCAAATAGAATTGATTTGATGGATGGCTTGAAAAGAGACATAATAAATAACTGATCCTCCACTCGTCTACTGATCTTGGAAATTGCATTGCACAGGCTATTTAAAACTGTTAATTTGTTATCCTTAAACACAGTGGGGAGAAAGCATTTCAGCCAATGTATATAAGGTATTCCTAGATTGTTTACCTTTTAAGCTGTGTTTAGAAACTTGTGAGTGAGGCCAGTATAGCACCTGTATTGTCAGTGTTTGATTGATTGCCAGTTTTGTAATAGATTATTTAAGTCCTCTCTTCCTTCTACCTGAGATATTCTCATGGAAGTTTTCCAGTTTTAAAGACACAGTTGTGTAGTGTGTAATATTCACACAGGTAGTGCTCTTAGTACCTTCCTCTTCCTTTTTTATTAATAACCAGGTAAAAAAAAAAAGTGCTATTTACCCACTAGATATAATACAATATGCCATTTACCCCTCACCAAATATAACACTATATACCATTTTCCCTCCAAATATAACACATTGATAGTTCTATTTTCACAAGTTTTGTTGGAACTACAGTCTATTTTGGTCATTGACACAGATGAACTACATTATTTATAGTAGTTGATAATCTATATGACCTATTTTTTCAAAATGAAAATTAAAAAGGGAATGCAGAATATAATTGACTTTACAATCTGTGAATGATGACAAAAATTATTGGCCTAGAAATTGTTTAGAAACAAACTGCAGTCTCAATACATTTAGCATACGTTGAATTTAGAGTAATCAATAAAATTTCAATAGGGCCAAATTTCTGACAATATGAAATTTCCTGACTATTATCATGAAAAAGATACTTGGGAGATGTAAATCAGCTGAAGCTGTTAAGAATATATATGTGACACCACAGCTTGTGTGTTTCTGTTTATATTAGTTCATCTTACAATGTTTCAGTACATGTACCTACACATACTTGTACATTCATTCATCTGTAGGTGTAACACTTTGGTAAGAATTTGAAGTTTTATGCAGCTGCAACATACTTAATACAGTAGAATAGAAGGAATAACTACTTAAGCAATCAATGAAGCCATTGTAAAAAAAAGAATGGAAAGAGATTTTTTTTAAGTCTTTTAACTTTTATTTGTAGAAAAATATAGATCCAATAGCCCAGAGAATTCAAGCAACCTTAGGAAAATGTAACATGGAGAATTACAGAGATGCTATAGGCATTACCCAGCAGCCTGCAACACCTTTACCAGATAAAAAGAGGATGTCATTCCCAGATAGAAAACTAGATTCTAGAACTAGTAATTCTAAAGAGACAGAAGGAGCCAAAAGATCACTGGAAGATAGAAATACCCCTAAAAATGTTCCTGCAAAATCATATACTTATCAGAGTTATCTTGACAAACAGCGCAGTGCTTCATCTCGTGATCCAGGCTCCTCATCAGACAAGAAGCCACACCTACCATCCTCAGCGTCCAATGGTCTGAAAGCAGATCAGCACAAATCTCATCATCCCATAAAAAAGGAATACAGGTCACCAAGCCCAATAAAAAAGGGACAGAACACCCCCACAAAGAATGGACCAGTTAATGGGAGAGGGGGTGAGGAGAAAGGGGAGGGGAGTAGTAAGAACAAATACCACTCTATGAATGGCATTCCTGCTCCATTGAAGCCAAATAAACAACATAATCTTCCACCACTTCGAATCAACAAGGTAATAAAAAGTATTTTAAAAATATACTGGAATAAAAAAAGTAATAATATGTGTATCTATTTCTAAGAACTTAATCCAAAAATAGAAACCATGTTCTGTTAATAGAACTAAATATATAGTTACTGGTGATAATTTCCTGGGTATTTCATTTGAAGTTTGGGGAAAAGGGTGTGTTTATGATAGAGATAATGACTTTCTTATTAATAGATAACAGATAATTTGAAAAGGATTTGTTAGAAATGTAAGATATCTTTTCATGAGGGAATAATTGTAATTTGTTTTCATAAATGCATGACACTAAACAAGAGAAAAAGCTTTTTTTAGCTCACCTGAGCCGAAGGCTCAAGTGAGCTTTTCTGATCAAAATTTGTTCGTTGTCTGTTGGCGTCGTTGTTGTCGTAAACTTTTCACATTTTCATCTCCTTCTCCAGAACTACTGGGCCAATTTCAATCAAACTTGGCACAAAGTATCCTTGGGTAAAGGGGATTCAAGTTTGTTCAAATGAAGGGCCACTCCCTCCTCAAAGGGGATATAATTACAAAATAGCAAAAAATTAATGGCATTATTGAAAAATCTTCTTCTCAAGAACCAATGGGCCAGGAAAGATGAAACTCATATGGAATTATTGTCAGGTAGTGTAGATTCAAGTTTGTTCAAATCATGACCCCAGGGGGTAGGGTGGGGCCACAATGGACGATCAAAGTTTTACATAGGAATATATAGGAAAAATCTTCAAAAATCTTCTTCTCAAGAACAGCAAAGCCATGATTGGTCATATTTATATGGAAGCATCCTCATGTGGTGTAGATTCCAGTTTGTTCAAATCATGACCCCCGGGGGTAGGGTGGGGCCACAATGGACGATCAAAGTTTTACATAGGAATATATAGGAAAAATCTTTAAAAATCTTCTCAAGAACAACAAAGCCATGATTGATCATATTTATATTGGAAGCATCCTCAGGTGGTGTAGATTCAAGTTTGTTCAAATCATGACCCCCAGGGTAAGGGTGGGGCCACAATAGACGATCAAAGTTTAACATATGTGTACATAGGAAAAATCTTAAAAAATCTTCTTCTCAAGAACAGCAAAGCTTTGATTGGATATTTTTTTTTGAAAGCATCCTCAGGTAGTCAGGGTTCTCATTAACGCAAGAATCTGCGTCCTAGACGCAGCAAAATTACTTGGGACGCAAGGTTCTTAAAAACGATGCGTCCGCGGACTCATGATCGGACGCGTCCTCGTTAGCGAGAAAATACGAATGATTTCGAAAACGGGGAATTTAGATGTTAGGATTTGTCAAAGAAATATTTAATCGAAACCTTCCTGTAACTATCATAAAGTTTATACAAGGAACAACTTTTCTTGTACTTATTTCTCTTTTTTTTAAACAGGGATCGATCACAAGATATTTCATGTTTATTAGTCCATAGTCATAATAGCTTCGCATGCAAAACTCCGACAGCTGTAAACACACTGCAGCTTTTTAAAAAAAAACACTTTTGAATCTTGAGTGTTATCTACATGTAGAAACCATAATTACTGCTTGTATACACAATACGGCTTGATTATCTCGTGAATTTCACCCAGTGCAGACGACCGACAGGATTAGTTACGCCTCATTGCACATGACACCTGTGATTGTGTACAGTCATTTTTTGGGTACTGCTTGATTATGCAACAGTTAATTTTAGCTTTATAAACACCAAGTTATTTTTATGGCAATTGATTACGCGTGTATTTTAGAATATGGCTTGAATGCATTACCAGTTTATATACTTGAATATGTTTAATATTGCGTTAAAACAAACTGATAAAATGATAAAGATTTTTATTGATGTTTGGATGGAAGGATACTGCATTAATTTATAGTTGGGACTCAACATAATTTTTCTGGGACGCATCAAATTTAGCTGGGACGCAATCTTCTCAAGTTAGCAAAATCCTAGTGAGAACCCTGGGTAGTGTAGATTCAAGTTTGTTCAAATCATGACCCCCGGGGGTAGGGTGGGGCCACAATGAACGTTCAAAGTTTTATATAGGAATATATAAGAAAAACCTTTAAAAATCTCAAGAACAGCAAAGCCACAGTTTGTAATATTTATATGAGAGCATCCTCAGATAGTGTAGATTCAAATTTGTTCAAATCATGACCTCCAGGGGTAGGGTGGGGCCACAATGAAAGTTTAAGCTTGTAGATAAAAAGTCACAGTTAGTCAAAAAATTATGTAAGCAGTGTAGATTTAATTTTGTTCAAGTCATACCCCCCCCCCCCCACTCCCTTTTAGGGGTAGGTTGGGACCATTTATGCATTTAAGCTTTTCAATACTAAACTGATTTTCCTTTTTTCCTGGCCACAGTGCTCAGGTGAGTGATGTGGCCCCTGGGCCTCTTGTTTTTGTGCCGCAGTCATATTTTGAAAAGTATAATTTTTTACAAATTAAAAATCATTTACCTTGAATTATTGTGGGAACTCATTATGAATGCTTATTTTTTTCCCCTCACTTTGATTTCAGTAAATTCAAATAATGACATGTACAGACTTGATGTATTCTGAACAAAAATTACATTATAAATGCCCAGAATTGAGATGGACAAAAAATCTCAAATCTCATTGTTTGACCCCAGCTTATCAGGATTTTGATAACTTTGGTTAGACAAAGATGTTGCAGATTTGACACCTTAATCATGCTTCTTGTTATTTTCAGGAGGTGGACAGTGTTGAAGATATTTTAAAGGTACGGTCTTTTATGAGAAGTCCTCTGTAGATGATGATAGCAAAAATAGAAAATTTCAACATTTGCAAGAATCTTTTATGACAAATTGATTTTTTTTCTCTCTCTCTAAAATTTAAGTGACTTAGGGTCACTGACCCTCTGATAAGAGTTAACTCTCAGGGGGCTGACTGACTATTATACTATATCCCTTTTGCCCCACAAAGTATGCTGAAATTTTGTGCATTTTTATTCGCTCTACTGGTTAGAGACCAGAAGATCTTATGTGATAGTAAGGTGTCTGTTGTCTGTCCATCTCTGTCTCTATTTGTCTATAAACATTTTTTTCCCCCTAGAATGCTGCTTGTTTTAAAGTTCCTGATTGATTTCAATAAAACTGGGTGCACAAGTAAACTACACTAAGAGACAATTTTTTTTTTTTTAAATTTAGATGAAGGGTGTTGTCAAAAGTTACTAAAAATAGAAATATCATTGAAATCCTTTAAAAAATGCTACTGTTCTAACTTTTTGGTCTTAATTTTGTAAAATTTTGTATACAAGTAGACTGCACATTTCCATACATTATCACATAGATATAATTTATGTAATTCTCCTTTTTGATTTTTTAAAAAAATTTATAAATGGTGTTGCCATGTAATAATAAATAGAAATTTCTATGAAATTCTTTCAGAATGCTATTCCTCCTACAAAGTTTTAATGTAATGCATTAAAACTTTTCACACAGAGAGACTTAACCCAGGATCATTTATTCATTTTATTGATGTTGATATTGTTTCAAGTCCAAGTGCTACTTTTCTCTTCCTTAACCAGCAGAGCTACAATCTCATCAGAGACTTCTGGTTATGAATTAGTTCTCTTTGAAAAAAATATAACATAAATGCAAAAACAGAGGGATGATGAACCATAAATCATGATCTTCTTGAAAGAATAATAGGAGTAGACAATAAAATGGAAAGAATAATAGGAATAGACAATAAAATGGAAAGAATAATAGGAATAGACAATAAAATGGAAATGCAGGCTAATGCCTAAATAAGAATGTATTTGGAATTCTTTATTAACATTTATTAACATTTTTTTCAAAATAACATTTTATGAATTTTTAATTTGAAAGAATGAAAATCATTGATTGGGGAAATGTGAAAAACCATATAATTATGAAACTGATTTGCAGGAGATGACTCAAATGCATCAACCGCACACTGCCATTCAAACCCCTCGCAAGGAAGAGAAGTTCCCATTTCCAACTAGTTCCCCCACCAGCAAGGTACCACTTGTAGAATAGTAACACTGAATACACAGATGTTATATAATCATGGTATTGATTTGTGTGTTAAAGTAACCCAGATCCCTAGATAGTAGGTCATTAAAAATGTTGCAAATCATAGAAATGAAATAAAGAGATAGACCTTTCATGTAGGGTATCAAGGTGTTACAAAGTAAAAATGTTAATATTTTTTTATATTGATCATCTGATTGTAAAGAATAAGTAGTATCATTGAGAAGAGCGGGTCACAGATGGCCACGGTTATTGCCGAGGACAAAAGGAGGTTGTGTGGAATTATGTTTTAGGGTTTTAAAATTGACTGCATTGTACTTTTGTCATATGTGAGTTCTGCTAAGGTTATCAAACTTGCTGACTTCACAGAATCTGTTTAGAAGTTTTTTTGTTGACATCTGAAGTGTTTAAGGAGAAATTAAATATAGAAGCAGATAAATCTAAGTTCATGTTTTAAGATTAAAGAGTTTGATAGCAGGAACATTGACTTTTTTTTAAAGAAAATTCATTGTTGTTTTTTGTTCCCAGAAATATTAGCAAACTGAAATTCCAAAATCAAGTTTTAAGTACATGTTATTTAATATGGGTTTTAACAAAGATCATTGATCATTTTTATACAGGGTTTTAAGAAATTTACAGTAATCTACTGTGTCATGCATTCCTTCCTCCCCCTTAGTTTTTGGACAATTTTTCCTTTAGGAAAAACAAACTTTAAAAAAAATTGTATGTTGTAGTCAAGGCAATCATTTTTTTCTAATTAAGAATTTGAAAGAGAAAATGTTAAATTACTATGTTTTTTCCCTTTGTATTGATGGGTCATTTAGTAAATGTAATGATAGGAAGAAATTACAGAGAGATAAGAATTACAGGATTTTTAAAACACGTTTTGAAATCAACCTGATAAAAAGAAGGGGGGGGGGATCACGAGTGAAAATAACAAAGTCATGCTTTATGTTCTGAACATTTTAATTCCTGCAGGTACTTGTGTATATTTTATTGACATGGGTTTTAAGATGTCATCAAGATCATGCACATACTTTATTTATCACATGGTTCAAGTGCTGCAGGGAAGTATGCAGCTCCTACCAGTTATAAGGTTATAGCCTCTATTGACTAAAAGTATTTGATAGTTTTGTTTTCTTGTGTTTTGGATTACACTTAGAGATATAAGATTGAGACTTGGTAGTTTGCTGTTCATGACAGAGTTTGAGATCAGGATTGAGTTTTGTAAGATTTTTTTTATCTTTTGAAGATTCAGAAAACTATGGATTGGAGTCGCAGTTTTAATTCATGGATATATTCTTTTTCTTTTTCAGAGTGCAAGCAAAACAGGTGAACTCAAAATCCAAAGTAAGTTTGTGTTCATTATTTGAAGAAATATGAAGATGGATCAATATAATTTTTTTCTAATCCATACAAGATGAAAATCTTAAAATTCAGATTCTCAGTATTCCTTTCAAAAATTCAATTTTAAAAAAAATGTAAATACTGAGGGGAAACTGGACCTATTCTTTTATTATCCATATGATGTGGAATTATACAAGAAAATTGTTTCATTGTTCAAGTTCAGAAAACTGCCATCTAAAATTGGTTTAACCTACATGTAAAAGCATTGATTTTTACCTAGTAAAATGGCAATCATTTCTGGAAAACATGCCATCAGGTGATGTATTTTATGTCACAGAAAATCAATAGTCTCTGTTCAAAATCTAAGGTGAATTATTTATTGATGGATGTAACATTTCCGGTCTTGTAAGATGGTAACCATTCCATCTGAAGGGAACGTTTGATCTGTGAAAATTAAATACCCTAATCACAGTGTCAGTAAATGCAAAGGAATAGTTAGTAAATGAGATTAGTTCCTTCATTTGCATAAACTCTTCTTTTGTGAATATGAATCAACAGACTCTAAACTGATCCAAAAACGTATTAAAAGTAGTCCATATCAGAGCCTTAATTGAAGATTTAAATGGGTTTTAATGGAAAATGATGGGATTTTTTTTTTGAATTATTTTTTCAGGAGGAAAATGTATTTTAATGATCATGATGCATAGGAATTATACAAGTTTTTCTCTGTCACAATATTTTTTATTTTTTTTTTTTTTTAGGAAATGGTATTACAGATGGATCTAAGAATTCTCCTAGTGCAAATCCATCAAATTTCAGGTAAAGAAACTTTTTTGTATGGCATGTTTTACTCTGTTGATTTAAAAATCCTTGTAAGGAATGAAATACTTACTTCTGAAGATTCAAAAGAAATATTTCAAAATGTTTGTGGATTATTATTGCCATTAAATCTTTGGGCCAGATTTAAAGAAAAAATCTAAAAAAGAGGGGTATCAATTTTTTCCCCCAAAGAATGATGATTCAAGCTAGATCATTTTAAAACTATTTATGAAGTGAAAAAGATAACAATTTGTTGTATCATTTAATACATTTATTAAACAGTTTTACTAAATCAAATAGCCATTAGTAAAATGTGAGGTTTTGTTCCCTGTAGATGTCCATTTAGTGTTAGGTCATTGGTCTGTGTCTTCTTTTATAAGTTTATAAAAATTGAGGTTTTTGTCCAACTTACAAGCAAAATGAGGTCCTGTGTCTCAGTAGGCATTCATTAAAAGTGAGGTTTCAATGTCAAGGTAGACATTTATAAAGAGTGACATCATGTGCCACTTGAGATATTCATGAAAAGTGAGGTCCCATGTTACTCTTGATGTTTTTGTGAAAAGTTAAACAATGTAGAAATTTGTGAGAAGCGAGATTCTGTGAAACTCTAGATGTTCAAATGAAGTGAGGTTCTACGGAATAATCTTTCAAAGAATGTTAATAATGTCACTGTAAATGCTATGTATTGAGTAATTTTTAAAGTTATGCAATTTTTTGCAAAATTTTTAGGTTCAGTTTTTGTGCCGAAAAAAGTGATGTGGCAAAATAATTCCTCTTCCAACTCTTTGGAAATGCATTACCTTCAAAGTTGCTAAAATTACCTTCAAAGTTGCTAACTGAAAAAAATGTCAGATTATAGAGAATACCTGAGGTTCTGTGAAACTATCACTGTTCATAAAAGTGAGGTAGTGGTTCCCAGAAATTGAGATTCATGAACACACCTTGAACAGAGAGAGATCAGTGTCTCTACTGACATGTACCAGAAATCAAAATTGTGTATTATACCAACAGTTTAGTGTCAACTCTTCTAAGAGTGACTCTAAAAATTACTATATATTATACATGCACTTAAAGGATATCAGTTCATATTGCAATTTTTAGAGTGCTTCATTTGATGACTTCTTAATTATCTTGTTTAACATTTCAGAGGTTCAGAAAGAGAGCAGGCAGTTGATATAACTGTGGTAAGTATGCCTTCTTTGCCACCTATCTAACAGTTGTATACAATTATTGTTCTCTAGCAAATGCTAACAAGTTACGTGCAACCACTCGTGTCTACTCAGCTGGCCCTGAATGTGTTTAGCATACCTTTATTGTCATTTAGCCTAGCACTAAGCTGTATTAAGTTACCCAGCTAACACTGGCTGTTTCGTTACTATTGTGTCTTAGCTAACACTAGCTGTATTTTTTTTCCATTGTTACCTAGCTAACACTGACTGTCTTTAGTGTGGCTTCTAAATGTTACACAGCAAATATTAGTTCTTTCTAGTGGTAGTAGTATATTGCCTTGGAAGACGTATTACAATATATCCAATATATTGCAGTACAGAACTAGAATATCATGATTTATTTTTAACGTAGAGAAATTAAATAAAATGTATACTTGGATGAATGTAGACCCTTCAGCTATTTTGATGACAAGATTGATATATTGAACTATACTATATGTAGTATAGTGAGCATACTCTCATTGATACCTGCTTGTTAAAAAAACATCTGTGCTTTGTTATCTTACTTTATACTTAGCTAACATGTTTTAGTTTACACTCTTTGATACACCAAGCTGATACTATCTTTGGTTAGTTTTAGTTTATTATAATCCATAATTAACCATAGTTAAGTTAGGATACATTCATAGATATACCCAGTACTGGTTTATCTTCATTTATACCCAGCTAATGGTAACTTTAGCTGTTATCTAGTTAGCACTAGTCTAAGTTACCGGGTAGTATGTCTTCATTTTTACCATATTAGTACTGGTTATGCTTATACTCTCATTTAAACCTTCCTAACACTAGCTATGTTTAGCATATCTACATTAAATCCTAGCACATAACGCCAAGATTTACATGTTTATGTAGGGATTCATTAAATAAGCTAGAGTTTTGCAATGTTGATCATGTTTGTTTCTTAAACAGCTTCATCAAATCACTAAGGAAGTAAAACATTTAGATGTTTAACAACATGCCTCATGGATTAATAGTGCAATATTAAATCCAGCATCTTCCGGTTGGTAAAACAGTGGCACTTAATACTAGAACATTAGGCTATACTTAACTTACGAAAGCAAAACATTTGTGCATGTTAGTCTCTCTTCAGGAGCATGAAAAGATGCCACTTCTGCAGGATTATGAGGGCTGTGGATATGTATATATATAAATGTTTATGTTCAACACAGATATTGCTAACTGACAACAAGATGGTGTATATGAAATACTATGATCCCCTTTAAGCCATAATAAAAGGATGGCAGGTGGAAACTGAACTGATGGTCTGATCTGTAGCTCCAGGTGGTCATAATCAGAGAGAAAACAAACATCAGAATACTCTTCTGCTTCATAGAGAGCATACAAATTATAATTATTACTAATTGTGATATATGCAGCTTAAGAAGTAATTATTGTTGTGAACAGAAAATTATTTCCTTTCTGTAAGAAGTGTAAGTGAAGGAAGTTGTAGACTTCAGAGATTGTTAAAAGATATGTAACTTTGATTCAATTTTAGGAGGAAAATAAAATATATGTGCAAAAAGGAGGGGGGAGGGCAGTCTATTCTGTTATTCAAGCAATCAAAATACATCAAATTGAAATATTTAAGATACTGTAATTCCATGGCTTTTTCTATAGTCTTAGTCTTTAGTTATAAAAAATATCTTTAACAAACACAATTTTTTAAATGTTATAAATAAAAAACATGTGAAATATGAGTATTGAGTGGGATTAACTTCCTAAGTGTTCATCATTTATGTAACTCACTGTGTTAAATTCTGTAACTAAAAAATGTATTATTAGATAGAATATTCACCATGTAAGATTAGATATCCAAGATTAAATTAAGGAATTTAATCTTCCTGTAGGTCTTAGGTTCATTTCCATGTCAAATATGCATTTAAATACATGCAGCACGGTGCATGTTTTGCATTTTGTGTTTATATTAATGGAGTCTCTCATCTCCAGTGATTGGAAAGTTAGCGATAAAAATATGTGATCAAGTAAACAATTAGGTATTGATTTTCCTTACACTGGGGAAAACGTTCTGTCAAAGTACCTTTACCTGAGAAATTTTTTAAAAGAACTCCTGTTTGTAAATGGACTTGATCATGATATATGGCAAAACATTATCATAGATATTACCAATGGAATGTCAGATAAACATAAATTTGATATTTTGTGATTGACCGACATCACCTCTTAATGGAGTGATCTGTTAGATCTACGCACAGTGGGTCTAGATTCTACTATGGATTGGCATTAACTTTTGACAGCATCATTTTTATTGTTAGATTTGAAATCTACAGGATGACTTTTTGTTTCTTTCCAGAGAGCATCAAATACAACCGATTCTAAACAACCTTCAGTCTCCATTAGTGGACCAGGCACCAATGCTCCAACAAAAGAACAGAGGTAAACATCATAACCTAATTGTATGTTGTTAAACAACAGTTTGATGAGATGACAGGAAACTTTTAGAACGTTTTTTTCAGTGCTGATTAGTGTGAGTCAGTTTACCGTTTTCACAGGTGTTGTAAACTCGCACTATGTGCAGTGTGTAAGCTAGGGATAATTTTTTAAGATCTCTGTTTTCTGTTAGACGTGTTTATTGAGTAATTGTTCTGACAGATCTGTCGTGGTGCATTGGTACAACAAACCCTGCACTGTCTGTTATAGAGCAACTAGTCTGTGCCATCTACTCCTCCTGTGCATGAAATTGTTATTAATAGAATTTCATCTTAAGAACAAAGGAATCAATCTGTGTTCTCCCTTAAACCAAACACGTACAAAAAATGGGAAAACATGACTTGCAGTTTTAGTAATGAGATAAGATTTATTTTAGAACATTTATTGAAGTTCTTACAGGTCAGAGATAAGGATGAAGGTGTTATCTAAGTTTGATGGCAGCCAGTTTGATGGTCCATTTAAAATGACTTTCAATCTTAGCAGAAATGGCTGTAATTCAAGACATAGTGTATTGGGTGTAGTTGATGTATTCAACGACATCAAATGATTATCTCTCATGTCTTATGATAACTATATTATTTTTTTTATGATTCTTTTTAAAATGTTTAATTTAAAACAGAAAGTTGATACCCATGTAAAAAAAATATTAAAAAAAAAATTTACAGGATCAATACATGAATATAGTTTATCAAAATTTCATATACGTATATAGGTAACTTAAAGGTTTTTTTTTTTAATAATCAATTTTTGCCAATCTAAAAAAGTGCTTTATGTCACTCAAGGCCAGCTTCTTTAATTGCACTTTTAAGGGTTATCACTCTCGTCAAGTGTATATTGAATGAAGATGTATAGAGTTTATATTTAATGCTTGATCAACCAAGTATCTCTTTCAATTCTTATTACCACTTTGGGTGTTTCACATTCCAAATTAAAATCAATCCTGGTATTTATATTTAATTCTTATTTATTGAATAGGTGAATGAAGCAATTATTTTGCCAAAAATTGAATAGCTACTGGGTTATTAGATCAGAATAACAAAAGAAAATGAGGAATAATATCTAAAGCTATAAAAATATCTATTGATTGTTCACTCTCTCAACATACAGTTGTTTCATGGTTGGCAAGCTTGCCTCAGTGCATTGCAGTTTATTCTAAATTGATTGATGTTATGACCCTGTAGAAAACAACTCCCATTACAAGATTTTGTGTTAGGTTAAGATCAGACTTAGTGATTTGGGAGCCCAATTCAGGTGGACCCAGACAGATGTGTTATTTAAAGTAGAAACTCTTAACAGGTAATGTTTTCATTCTTAGGTCACTAGATTTTGTTTGGGTGTTAAATGTTATCTTGTTTTCTTTTCTCTCTTTGTGCTTTTATCTCGCACAACCTAGTACAGAGGATTCATCATTGGCAGCATTAATTCATTGTCTTTAGAATGACAGGCAATTGCAGCCTATTATTTCTTGATGAATTGTGGATTTAATGTGCTGCATATGATATATTTAGTCACTGAGCTAATCTGGCCTAACCTTGTAAAGGAAGTACTTGTTGATCGGAGCAGACTCAGAAAAACAACATGGTTTCTACTAATGAATGCAGACTCCGCATTGCTATGTTTTATGGCAGTAAAACTGAATAGATATCCTGTTATCTTAAGTTTCTTGTAAATAATCTTGTAAACGGAGAGTATATTTGTATTTCCACTAGCTATTGATTGCCTTCACTGCCAGATTCAGACACTGGCCTGCTGCAAAAAAATAATTGTAGCAGGATTGGTAAATCATCAGTAATTGATTCATTATGGCTAAAGCCTCTCAGAAAATCACACAATTGGAAAGAGAAATGTAGCCCACAGGTAAATGGGTAATCACTTCTGCATTCTCATTAAATGTTTAAATGACTGCATAATTAATTTGGTTACTTTGGAACTTAACACCTTATCCATGGAAGTTGTAGGTGTATGATGCCAGTGTTATCTAACTAACAGGTTAGATATTTTTGTCTTCAATAGAAATCCAATATATTCAAACAGACATGATGATAAGCATAGTACATGTATCATGAATAAGTTTATGTTTTTATGGATATTTATTAGTGATAATTTATTCCACCTTATTTTAAAGTAATTTCAATTCTTTAAACCCAACTTAAGTACATGTAAGTTGTTACTGTGCAGACATGTTGAAAAAATCAATATCTGCAGAAAAGTATTAGTTCTCTGAGCATAATCAGACTGATAGTTGATAGAGTAGATCAATCATTTGTATTGAACTGTGTATACTTCCTGTTTGTTGGAGCATATGATGTGACAGGTAGGGATCAATAACAAACAGTACAAGGATAATGATATCTGATTTATATTAAGGTAAAATTCCTTATTAATCTTATTTTCAGGATGAACTCTGGAGATTCAAGTAGTTCATCAGAGGATGAGGATGATAGTAATGAATCTGACAGTGAAAGTCAGTCTTCAGAGGAGGAGGATAAAAGTGATGATAATGAAGATGATGATGATGATGATGACGAAGAGGAGGAGGAGGAAGAAAAAGTAACTCCTGCCAAAATAAATTCCTCACTGTCAGATAAAGGACTTGATACATCTGTAAGTGACAGGATATACTCAAGGGGGGCATGCTGAAAGTTATATAATAAAACCAAGTATATAGCTAAGGCATCAACAAGAATGTCAGGTTTCAACTAAGTATCAACAATTTTTAGATAAGCATAACTTCACTATCTAGTGAATTAAACTTGAGGTTTCATGATCTTATTCTTGGGTTTTCATATTTTTTCATCAAAAGTATAAGATATGAAAAAAAAATATTTTTCCTTTCATTAGCTTTATATTCTTCAAGATTGCATTCATGTCAGATTGTTTTGACTTGTAATATTTGAGATTTGTTTAAAGTTATGGTGTTCATGCTGTATTTCACTTGTTTTTTTTTCTTTTGGAAAACTAGACAGAAATTCATGGTTACATCCGATTAAATCTTTGACAATCTTTGTTCTGTTCCAGAAAAGTTCCACGTGTTCCACTTGGGCATTAAGTAACTTCATCAAAACAAATGTGGAATCTCCCATTTCTCAGCTTCCAAGTTCCAATGACAATTCCAAATTGTCAGACAAACCAAATACAACAGCATCAGAAAAAGACAATGAACAGGTGATAAATGACCTGTTGGCTCGTATAGATGACCATACAGGTGGGCATGACTGGTCACCAGTGTTCCAGACAAAACAGAAAGTTACTCAACAGAAATCACCGTTTAGCAGTTTTAGTGCACATCAGTCACCTCCATCTAAAATCAGCAATCATACTTCATCAAGTGAAAAACTCAAGACTTCCACACCTGATTCTAAGAGTCGAGTGCGGAGGAAAAGACTCAGTGAGCCAGTTTTATCTTCTGATGAATCGCAAAGTGAAAATGAGGAGGTAGATGTGGAATCTGTGACTCCTGGGAAAGAAATTATTCCCGAAATACTGAGGAAAAGTGTTGAATCTGTGTCAGAAGTGACGAAAAAGTTAGATTTTGACAAAGGGACAGGTGGGTCTGTAAATCGAGTGATTCCAAACAATTTTACTGAAAAGAAAGTGAAGACCAAAGATAGGAGAGACCAAACAAAGTCAAGCAATAGAAGACAAAGCAAAGAGAATAAGGAAAATAATGACAAGAAAAACCACAGCTTTGATGATATTAAGAATATTATAGAGCAAATCACTGTCAATCCTCCCTTGTCACCTATTCCTAATGTTCCAGAAAATTCAAATCCCAAACCTTCAATTCCAGGTTTAACTTACAATAGTAATGGTAAACCCAGCATTATTGTTCATCTTAACCTGTCTTTAGCAAAACCAAGTGTCAAATGCAATACTTCCCCAAGTACAGTGTGTTCAGAATATAAGGAGAAAGAGTTGTGTTCAGATATCAAACATGAGGAGAATGCCAGCGATAGTGATATGGATATAGATGACGATATTGTAGACTCCAAAGTTCTCATCGAATGCCCTAAACCAGTATCCCCACAACATAATACCATACCAGTGCCATTTTCATCGCATTACTCGCCTCTGACAATGAATGGTGATATTACCAGTGCAAAACGCAAATCAGACTTGGACTTCATTGAGAATGATAAAAAACGTGCTAGAAGTGATAAAAGAAGTAGCAAAAGAAACAGTTTAGGAAGTTCTCGAGAGTAAGTGCTTACATATCTCTTATGCATTGATGTTTTTTAATTTCCTAAATTTTCATGTCGCAGTGCTATTAATCACACAAGTGTGCATATTAATTGGATATAGTGCATTCTAAAAAAGAAAAAAAACTTGTATGCAGTATGTGTCATTTATGGCAATGTGAAATGAAAAAAATAATCACCTAAGGCTTATATCTAAATTAATTTTTTTATTTCATTAGTTTTTTTTTAAAATCATTTTATTATTGTGATGTCATTCATGTTAACAATCACATGAAATGAAGTAGTTGATAAGGAAAACAACTGCGAAATTAAGAATTTATGATTGCAACTCAAAGGACTGAAGCTGAGCTTGAAGTCTTCACATTGTGATATGGTGTACAATATTGCAGAACAATGGTTGGTGTGAGTCCTTGGGCTGAATGTAACAGTGAAAATGTACTAAGGTCTTGATAGAGATTGATCAGATCAGATGAAGCTGTTTGCTATTTTAAAGGCCCCATATCAAGATGCTGGTGCCCTCAACATTTTTTCTGACAATATCTTGAATCTCAACCTGCATCTACTCATATTGTAGGCTTTTGTGTTAATCTGTATACTTGTATATTAGCTATGTAAATTTTATATTGTACATTTGTGAAATGTTAACAAAAAAGAACTCTGGGCTCTAGATATTAAGATTCTTTTAGCACTGTAACAAGTCCAGAGTTCCTGTCCCAATTATGGGTAAGAAATTCATTACACTTAGGTAGTAAAGATCTAAGGGCCTTTTGTTTGGATTTTAATTAAATAAGCACTAGACAAAATCAATGTGTGTTTTATCAGTGTATCAGGTATACATGTATTATTATCTCACAAGCCTAGAAAATGATTGCTGTAAAATTTATGAGGGAAAATTTATCATCTAAAGTGTTATATTAACTAAAGGTAATCCATCCCTAATAGCCTCAGATTCATTGGAATTGAATACATAACGCTAAACAGATATGTACTGGTTGAATACTCGGTAAATTAAGACATAATTCTCAATTATTATTATCATTTTATATAGAAGTGGAGATCCTAATTGACCTGTTCTAGAAGAGTTATCTACCTCTGTTTTTAATCAATATAAATAATTTTTTTTTTAAATATTATTTGGTAAAAATGTAATTTTTAATTGTTATTCTATTCCTGATAATTGAATACATCTTTCCACCAAAGCATTTTTTTTTATCTTTTTAGTAGTTGAATTTTTATTTAAAAAACAATGGCTTGTCCCCATAAACCTCAATGAAATCTTCTTTGATAAATCTACATAGGTAACTACATTTTTGAGAATTTCTTTTGGTCAAATCCTTTTTCTACTGCTTTAAATTGATATCAAGTTCAAGTTAAATTTATTCTCTCAAAACTATATTACTGGTACATGAGGTTCTATGTACAATATAATGTACAATATATACCAGATATCAGAGCATTATATACATGAATATATACAGAATAGAAAATTAGGTCCTATTGGTTTAAATTTTCCCCAAACATTCACTTGTCCAAGGACTACCTGGTACTAAGCATGTGAAAATCACTAGTCCATAATATTTATTTACTAGTCCATTGGCAAAAAAAAAAATCTCCTCTCATGGCTTGTTTTATAACAAGCTGTCAACCCAATGGGTGTATTACATTTCTGCAAATTTTGAGGAATTTTATTTTTTACATTTCTTCAAAAAGTTTTGTTGTAAACATTTCCACAAAAGAAAATATAGCTATGTTACCTGCTTGTGATGTAAAGTGACAAACACAGCCTTGACATTTTGAGTAAAGAATATGCAAAATATACAAAACGCAACATTTCCAGGGTTGAATTTCATTTAATGCTACAGCTAGGGTGTCATTTTGCATCAATCATGTCTGTCAAAAAGTAACATGATCAAGTCAGAATCAATATTTTATGCATTATCATATTAACTCATACGTACATGTTTTTGCAGTGGTACAGAATGCTATTTTAATTTATCAGTATTTTATCCTGCTAATTGTACTCTTTTATTTGAAGAACAATTTAATTCATGTTTATTTTACTTGTGTGCCAGTGATCCAGGGAAAATATTTGTGGAATCGTTATACAATATATTTCGCAGAATTGTTAAAAAAAAAAAAAAATGGAATTTAACGTATTTTTTGTGGAACAATAACACTGAGTTGCAGAAATGCGGTGTGTCAAACCTGATACCTGAAACATTTTGGTGATGTGAATTGTACACTATAGTAAACTACTACTCAGAGTGTGCTTTGTGAACCAGCTCAGAAAAAAACAAAAAGTACAGGCTCCTCTCAAAATGTTTTATTTTTATGCTTTTCATCATATATTTTTTTTTCTGCCCAATATGATGGACTATTGGAAGTGAAAACCAGCTAGTCAGCCCCATAAACTTAAGATCCTGGACCTTGGACCAAAGTATTTTTAAACTGCTGTAGTGGGTTATATACCTTAAAACACATGTCATCTGAACTGTTACATTTAAACACATTAGCATGCTTAATTCAATTTTAATGGTTACAATGACAAATGTTCTAACCCTTTAAAAATATGTAAATATAATTTAAGATAATTAGATTCCAATGTCTAGGTTACAGTTTATTATTTCTGTTTCTTAGTTTTCCCAAATACCCTTTTTAGCTTTTAGAAATGTTTAATCTTTTGATATTGTATATATACAGTGTAAATGTTGATCATGTGTATGATGTAATCATTATGTATGTGTTAATAATTTATCAACAAATTGTTGATGTTATCAAATGTGACATTTTAGTATGTAAGATTTGTTCTTTGTAGATATTTTGCAGTATTTAAACTTAATGGGCTTTAAAAAGACCCAGAAGCATTGTTTGAAGCATATCCCTGGTATAATTCATTTCATTAATGTTTAGGAGAATAAGTCACACCAATGACCATGAATGGGACATGAAACACCCACAGAGGTCAGAGGGCAAAGAGCGAAGAAGCAGTTCAAGTAGTAATTCTAGTCAGTTCAGTAGCACCAGTAAACAGTCAAAGAAAACCAAAAACCAGAGCACAGAACCAGACATGACAGGCCACCAGTTGGATGACAAGGTGATTGATTGATTGACAAGTATACTTTATATCAGTGTTAAATTCAGTGATAATATTGAAGTACTTTTAAGAGTAAATGTCAAAAAAATGTCATAAAACCTAGTATCAAGAGCAACCTTATGGTTAAATCTGCTTCTAAAAAAGTTATTTTTAGAACATAATAATTTTTTAGTCAATTACTTGATTTGTTATTTTTATAATGGGAGGGGGGAATTCAACAGTAAATATTTTTAATGCTAAAAAATGTTAAAATTTTTAAATGAACAAAATACCAAAGAAATTGTATACTTTACCATATCTACTGTAAGAATTTAAGAAATTGTCCTGTCTTTGTATAACAGGAGGAATTGGAGGTTCCAGGAAATGGTCCGGAGAACAGTGGTCAGTATCCTTCTTCAGTGGAAATGACCAGTTACTCTCGAGGGGGAGAGGGAGATGTAGCCCATGTACCTAGTCCCCAGACCCGCAAGTCAGCTAAAACCATGGATGACTGGTGAGTTTTAACTGTTAAAACTTACATTCTCAGGCATAATGACTTTTAATCTTCTTCACATCCCTTATGAAATTTACATTTGAATGGGATAACTACTTATCCAGTCTAAATGATAATTTTTACAAACACCCCTGTAAAGAGCGAAGTCAAAAATCATTTTCATATATTATAGCAAAATTTCATCAAATTAAAGATGTCTAATATTTGTGAATCTTAAAAGTGTTAAATTTTAACCAGAAGGGATTGTTATATAAATTGTTTCTCATGACTAGAGAATGGTAGTTTATGAAATCCAATATCTATATATTTTGAGTATTTATAGACAATCTGTCTATGATTAAGGACAACGGATCTAATTCGAAATTTCACTCCACTGCGCAGAAAACCGCGCATATGCCTTGAATCAAATTGACTTAATTATGTATTGCAAAAGATAAAAAATATACATTTTTAATTCTTTTAAAGATATTCAAATGTTTCCTCTCAATTGAAAAATGTTGTAAATATTTCGATTTATATTCATTTGTTGATTTTATAAATAAATGATTTATATGGCCAAGGTATTTCCATTGAAAATTTCCCCCAAAATGTGCCTTACTTCTGTGTTTGACATGCCCCCCTGAAAAATCTACGTCAATGACCCATTTATTTTTTGGCATAATTTGCTGGTAAATTGTTAACACTGTCCTTTAATATGAATAAAAATTCTATTGCAGAATTTGTTTTAATGATCACTCTTATACCCTACACTGGCAATTTCCCATTACTTCCTATAGGAATTCTCCACTTCCATTGCCAACGTTTGAAACGTTCCCCATTAAAAATCTACATCGATGACCATATGATTTTTATGCCCCGCCATGAATATGGCCGGGGCATATAGTGTTTGTCATGTCCGTCTTCCGTCCTTCCGTCCTTCCGTCCTTCTGTCCTTCCGTCTGTCCTTCCGTCACACTTTGCGTTTAGCTCTGTTCAAAGCTCAGTTTCAAAGAAACTATCCAAGATATTTTTATCAAACTTCATATGCTGATAGATATTGATGAGGGCTATGCAACTGCATCAACATTTTTTGACCTTGACCTTTCCTTTGACCTTGACCTCACTTTTCTTAAATTAGTGTTTAGCTCAGTTTTAAAGATACCATTCAAGATAGTGTAATCAAACTTCATATGTTGATACATACTGATGTAAGCTATTCAATTGCATCAACATTTTTTTGACCTTGACCTTTCTTTTGACCTTGACCTCACTTTTCTTAAATTAATGTTTAGCTCTGTTTTAATGAAACCATTCATGATACTTTTAACAAACTTCATATGCTGATACATACTGATGAGAGCTATTCAACTGCATCAATATTTTTTACCTTGACCATTCCTTTGACCTTGACCTCACTTTTCTTAAATAAGTTTTTAGCTCAATTTTAAAGATACCATTCAAGATAGTGTTATCAAACTTCATATGCTGATACATACTGATGAGAGCTATTCAACTGCATCAACATTTTTTGACCTTGACCTTTCCTTTGACCTTGACCTCACTTTTCTTAAATTAGTGTCAAACTTAATATGCTGATACATACTGATGAGAGCTATTCAACTGCATCAATATTTTTTGACCTTGACCTTTCCTTTGACCTTGACCTCACTTTTCTTAAATTAGTGTTTAGCTCAGTTTTTTAAGAAACCATTCATAATATTTTCATCAAACTTCATATGCTAATACATACTGATGTAACCTTTTCAACTGCATCAACATTTTTTGACCTTGACCTTTCCTTTGACCTTGACCTCACTTTTCTTAAATTAGTGTCAAACTTCATATGCTGATACATACTGATGAGAGCTATTCAACTGCATCAATATTTTTTGACCTTTCCTTTGACCTTGACCTCACTTTTCTTAAATTAGTGTTTAGCTCAGTTTTAAAGAAACCATTCATAATATTTTCATCAAACTTCATATGCTAATACATACTGGTGTAACCTTTTCAACTACATCAACATTTTTTGATCTTGACCTTTCCGTTGATCTTGACCTCACTTTTCTTAAATTAGTTTCTGAATCAAACGTCATATGCTGATACATACTGATGTAAGCTATTCAACTGCAGCAATATTTTTTGACCTTGACCTTTCCTTTGACCTTGACCTCACTTTTCTCAATTTGTGTTAAAATGTTGCATTACTAATATACCCTTGGCGGGGCATTCATGTCCTATGGACATATTTCTAGTTTTTATTGATTTTAACTCACCAAAAGTCACTTTACCTCAATTTAAAATTTGAATGAATAATCTATCGCAGAAATGAATTAGGTCCGTCATTGTTAAGTATTGTCTTCAAAGAAAATTTTCTTTGCATTTGATCAGTAAAGTATCTTGAGAAAATAAACTGATAATCTAGCAATGATTGGGAGCTAGTGGATACAGACAGTTTGTGCTCAGACAGTCAACCTGTCAGGGGAAATCTGTAAAGTAGTAGAGAGCAATCAGGGCAGGAAAATCAATTGTGTGATCAGAATTAAAGGAAGCCTGATAGTATGACACCTCAGTAGCTTCTCTGATAGATGGCTTATGTTTGTCTTGTCAATACGTTCTATTACTTGATAATTAAGGCTTCTTTATTGATTCAGCATCCAGACAGTCCTTCTGCACCTCGTAAGCTCGGTAAAATGTCATTTTTTCAACACATTACTGGAAAAGTACAGCTATGACCTCACCAGTTCTGGCTGCATCCGTGTGTTTGGCTTTATAGCTTGCTCATAATCCTGTAATTTTTGTACTTATAACACATAATATTCCTCATTTGAATATTCAGAAAATCTTGGATGCTGAAAACAATATTTAAAAACCCAACATCAAAGCGAAGAAAAACTTGTTTTAGTGTCATTTCATATATTGTCTGTATTTTGTAGGTGTAATCTTTCACCAGATACCTACCTCCGTCTTGCTAAAGAACTCAAGCATCAGGCAGACAACATGAATAGCTCAGTAAGTTTGTACCTCAGAGCAATACCAACCATTCTAAAAGTAAAATTAATACGGATTAAAGTACAACTCCAGTACGTTTTGCCAAAAATATCTTTTAATGTTCAATCTTCCCAGAATTGACTTGTGTAGTCATGGTTTTTATTTCCTCAAAATTTGCCGTAGGCATGAAAATGAGAAATAACAATCTATTTTATTACAGAGTGATAAGCTGCAAAGAGCCATGAAATACCTAGAGTCATTTATAGCATTTATTCAGTGTGGGTATGCCATGGAACGTACCAACGTGGAACAGGTCAAGATTTTCAACATGTACAGGGACACAAACAAGCTAGTCTCGTAAGTCTGACAAATAGGGACACAAATAAATTAATTGCATAAGTCTGACAAACAGGTACACAAACAAGCTAGTCTCATGAGTCTGACAAATGGTAGGACACAAGCAAGCTAGTTTCATAAGTCTGATAAACAAGGGCACAAACAAGCTAGTCTCTTCAGTCTGACAATCGGGGATACAAACAAGCTAGTCTCATAAGTGTGACAAATGGTAGGACACAAGCAAGCTAGCCTCATAAGTCTGACAAACAGGGACACAAACAAGCTAGCTTTGTAAGTATGACAATCAGGGTCACAAACAAGCTAGTCTCATAGGTGTGACAAATGATAGGACACAAACAAGCTAGTCTCATAAGTCTGACAAACAGGGACACAAACAAGCTAGCCTCATAAGTCTGACAAATGGTAGGACACAAACAAGCTAGCCTCATAGGTGTGACAAATGGTAGGACACAAACAAGCTAGCCTCATAGGTGTGACAAATGGTAGGACACAAACAAGCTAGTCTCATAGGTGTGACAAATGGTAGGACACAAGCAAGCTAGTCTCATAGGTGTGACAAATGATGGGACACAAACAAGCTAGTCTCATAAGTCTGACAAACAGGGACACAAATAAGCTAGCCTCATAAGTCTGACAAATGGTAGGACACAAACAAGCTAGCCTCATAGGTGTGACAAATGGTAGGACACAAGCAAGCTAGCCTCATAAGTCTGACAAACAGGGACACAAACAAGCTAGCCTCGTTAGTCTGACAATCAGGGTCACAAACAAGCTAGTCTCATAAGTGTGACAAATGGTAGGACACAAACAAGCTAGCCTCATAGGTGTGACAAATGATAGGACACAAGCAAGCTGGTCTCATAAGTCTGACAAATGGTAGGACACAGACAAGCTAGTCTCATAGGTGTGACAAATGATAGGACACAAGCAAGCTGGTCTCATAAGTGTGACAAATGGTAGGACACAAGCAAGCTAGCCTCATAAGTCTGACAAACAGGGACACAAACAAGCTAGCCTCATAAGTCTGACAAATGGTAGGACACAAACAAGCTAGCCTCATAAGTGTGACAAATGGTAGGACACAAACAAGCTAGTCTCATAAGTCTGACAAATAATAGGAAACAAGTAAGCTAGCCTTGGTAGTCTGACAAATGGTAGGACACAAGCAAGCTAGCCTCATAAGTGTGACAAATGATGGGACACAAACAAGCTAGTCTCATAAGTCAGACAACTGGGGATACAAACAAGCTAGTCTCATAAGTGTGACAAATGATGGAACACAAACAAGCTAGTCTCATAAGTGTGACAAATGATGGGACACAAACAAGCTAGTCTCATAAGTCAGACAACTGGGGATACAAACAAGCTAGTCTCATAAGTCTGACAAATGGTAGGACACAAGCAAGCTAGCCTCATAAGTGTGACAAATGATGGGACACAAACAAGCTAGTCTCATAAGTCAGACAACTGGGGACACAAACAAGCTAGTCTCATAAGTGTGACAAATGGTAGGACACAAACAAGCTAGCCTCATAAGTCTGACAAATGGTAGGACACAAACAAGCTAGTCTCATAAGTCTGACAAATGGTAGGACACAAACAAGCTAGCCTCATAAGTGTGACAAATGGTAGGACACAAACAAGCTAGTCTCATAAGTCAGACAACTGGGGACACAAACAAGCTAGTCTCATAAGTCTGACAAATGGTAGGACACAAACAAGCTAGCCTCATAAGTCTGACAAATGGTAGGACACAAACAAGCTAGCCTCATAAGTGTGACAAATGGTAGGACACAAACAAGCTAGCCTCATAAGTGTGACAAATGATGGGACACAAACAAGCTAGTCTCATAAGTCAGACAACTGGGGACACAAACAAGCTAGTCTCATAAGTCTGACAAACAGGGGCACAAACGAGCTAGTCTCAAAAGTCTGACAAACAGGGGCACAAACAAGCTAGTCTCATAAGTCTGACAAATGATAGGGCAGAAACAAGCTAGTCTCATAAGTCTGACAAATGAGAGAGTAACTTGTGAACGTATAATGTCAAACCTGGTTATGTGTAATAGAGGTGCTGTTAAATCATGGTGGTAGTAGGAAAGAAATGAAGGTTTGACTTGAGAGAGAAAAAAAGAAAAAGATTGTGCTTGATCCAGCAAATAATTCAAAATGTTAACCAAGATTTTACTTATGATAGATATCAAAGATTGAAATACATACAGTATTTAGTCAAATCATCATGAATGGAACAAAAGAAATTATTTACAAAGGGATTCATTTATATTGTGATATGAACCTTAAATGTTTCATATGATTTTTAAAATAATTGCATAGAATGCAATTGAATAAAAATGACCAGAGAAGTGATATACAATTCATTTGATTTCCTTTTTAAGAATGTTCCTTTATTGTTCTGTAATTTATCATTTGACAGTGTTTGTTGTTAGCATGATAGAACATGAGGGCTCCAGTTGTACAGCACTCAGAGATGGAGATATCCCTAGATAATCAATAACTGAGGTTTTATGATACTTTGTCATAATGACTTGTTGTCATGTGATTTATTTGTGGTCCTCTCTTTGCAGACATATAAGCCGCTTGAGAGGAAGCCATGAGTCAAACAATAACTTGTCCACCAAGGAGAAAATCATATCCGTATTGAGGTATCCATTACTTCAACTCTACCTGAAATGAGTATTGATTAAAAAATCCCACAAAATAAAAACAAATTTGATGAGAATTACCAAAATAATCCCTATGAATTACACAGAGTACTAAACAGAAGCCTGACAAAACGTTATAGCCTTGGAAGTACTCAAAAATTAAAAAACCAAAAAGAAGTCTTTGTTAATGTACTAAAAATTTGCAGATGGATAAAAAAAGATATATCTCAAACTCAGATACCTATTTGAATTATGTCAATTGGAGATGTCTATGAGGAAAAAAATTTACTTTTGTAAATGTGTACTTCAAATAATAATAATGCAATGAAGAGTATGTTAAAGCTTGAAACATTTCATTAAATTTCCTCTGCAGCTTTCTTTCACTAATAATTTCAAGTCTGTCATGATCATTTCTTATATTACTAGTATATATGTGATACTTGTTTTTCTCTTGTAGTTTTGTCTTTTATAAGATATTTTGTATTATAGTTTGAGAATCCAGTCATTGTTGAATCTGAAATTGTACAAGCTGAAAAAGAATGATACTTTGAAGCTTAAAAGAGCAATTGAGGATTACAACAAGGTATGTAAATCAGTACTCAAGGAGGAAAGTTGCTTGTGTTGATCATTTTTAGACATGTACAAATGTTAGGTCTAACCTCACTGAGATGTTTAGAATCCTGAATTATGAGGGTGCCTTATAATAAACATGATGTCCAATCATCTATCTGCTCTTTCATCCATCTGTTATCACTGTTATGTGACACAGTAACTAAAGAACGTGTTGATAGTTTAAGCAAATGACTTCTTATTTACAACTTAGGGAATTTAAGGGAAGACCCCTATAGATTTTATGCTCAATTGATTAAAAGTTAGAAAAGACAATACTACTGATTTTTTTTTTGTGGCACTGTACTTTAAAATAATTTTTGTTTAAATGAGATTATATTAACTTCATAGATAGAAGATGGTTAAAGGTTATGGCAATTTAGTATTAATTAATCTAGGTTAAGGTTAAAAAGCTTTATTTGATACAATATATCAAGTTTTTCTTGATCAAAAGACTCATTTACAAAACAGGTATATGAGGTTTAAGGAAGACAAACATGTAGGGCTCTCTCCATCAAAAGTCAAGGTCAAAAGGACATGATTGTTGAAATGAGCACACTATTGGAGCTTATATAACTTTGTCAGTCTTCTGATCACAGTTGTTAAATCAATATCAACACATCAGCTTCTACCTGTAAAGGTATTACAATTGATTGAAATTAATATTGTAGACTGCAGCAAGCAAGCCACCACCTCAAGGCCTTCCCATAAGTCATGCCCCCTCACCTCATCAGAACAGCTGGAGCAACCGCTCTAACAGAACCCCCTCCCCTATGTCCCCTACCCCTTCCCCAGCTGGCAGCACAGGGTCACTGGAATCCAGGGTGAGTTTTATATGCAGGAGACAGTATTTCACACAGATTTAAAATACACTTGACTTTACATGTATTAACATGGTTCATTCTAAAATGCAAAAAATTTGATGGGTTTGAAATAATATGCTTTGAATATAAAAGAAGTCTTGGAGTAGGCTGCAATGCATTTAATATTTAAAATTAATTGTAAAATGCATGTATTGTTTCTCAAGCAGTAGTTTACGCAATTCTTTATTTTTTCTCTTACCTTTACAGGGCAGTAGTACTGATCTCACACCCTCTAAACTTCCCAATGGAAATGTCCATATGTCCCCGGCCACCATTGCATACCCACAGCGCATACATTCCATCACACAACAATACATCACATCCACTGGGTACCTTGTACAGTCTCATGACCTCTGGGATCAAGCTGACATTATCATGCAGGAAGTCAAAGGTAAGGTTAAAGTTCAAATTACAAAAGTGTAAAATTTCAGAATGAGTAAAATTTTATATGTTTACTTGAATTGTTGGAGAATAAGATTGAATTTTATTTTTTTACAGGGTTCTTTGATGATTTAGAAGAAAACTCAGAAACACTGACTATACAAAGCAGTATGCAAGACTTAATCACTTATCTTCAGAAAGTTGTAGAAAAGTTAAAAGACACTTAACAAAAATACATGAAGGAAGCAAGTTTTATATAGACTGGTGCTCACCTGTGGTTGTCAACATTCTTGATGGGTGTTCAGCAATTCTCAGTGTTCTCTATAAGGGGCCAGCCACAGGGTGGAGGGAAGGAGTGACATAATATTTGGTGCTCAAAGGTGAAAGGGTCAAAAGTGGATTTGAATTCATCCAAGTGAAGGCAGCTATAACATGACAAAATATATATCACAATTGTGCTTTCAATCAATTTGCGAATAGTCGCCTTTCTCCAAATGTGATACAGAAAATACGAAGGAGTTTCAAATCTTAACTAGTGCAAATAAGTTGTGTGTGACAACACCTAAAACTTTATAGCATAAATGGTAGATTATGTACTACTTTGACATTTGACAGAGGCAATTTACAACAAGTATATGTTCATCTAAGCATTTCCACTTTTTTGGTCTTCCAAGGAAGTTTCTACTATAAGGATAGAGCTAAACGCAAAGGGGACATTAGTTCATTATTGACTTCGGATTGTTGCGACATTTTTCTTTTTTAATGTATTCCATTTGTTTATGCATGTGATACTGCATTGATCATGAAGTTAATTCAAATTTATACTTTGAAATTTTTTAGATTTTTAGGTCATCAAAATCACTTGAATGACCTATTGCAATCTGTCTGTGTGCGTTGTCACCTATGATTTGTAATTTTTGTTGAATTCTTAAATTTTCTGAAACCTTCAGACCAGTTCTGACTCAATTTGGTTTGCATCAATTCATGATGGAGAAGAGAATTGTGATTTTCAGGTACATTTAGAAATAATTAACTGGGAAAATGGTATCTTTACCTTCACATTTACCTGAGAATTCTATACTAAATTTAGTAAAGTTTTTGACTCTGAGCTGCAGGTAGGGGTTAAGTAAAGAAAGAGCATAGATCAATGTCGGTTTTATTTACTTCTGAGCATGTCATACAAAATGTGTATAATTGGCAATAATTATTCCAGCTTGATTATCATTTAGTGAGGCCAGAGTGGGGTTCAGATTCTGAAAAAATGTGTAAATTCCTTTTTACCAGAGAACTGACCAACAAACTTTAAATGTACTGGAATATCTTCCTCCTCACTTCTGATTGAATGCTTGTAAAGTTTATGTACTTCAGCAAGAGTCATGTTTACTTCATTTAACACTCTAGTTAAGCTGCAGAAGAGTTGCTGCTGATACTCAGGTGACCTTTATGGCCTATGGGCCTTTTGTTTGAACTTTTGATAATGTTGATTGAATCAAATTGAAAGTATTTATTTTTTAAATTATAAGATGTGTAAAGTATTCATTTTATATACCATAAACTAGTCAAAAGAGTCCTACACCATACCACTTTTAAACTCTTGATGTCAAATTTATGCACCATGAATTCTGTGTAATTTTTGAAGGAATCCTGTATATTTGCCATAAAATGAAGACTTCCAGTACCAAATTACAATTTGGAAAACTGCCAAAAATGCCAGTAAAAGCAACTTAGACTTCAAACTTCTAGAGTGATTAATATTTCAATTACAAATTTTAAATGATAGTTCCAAAATACAGTATTCTGATTTTATAAAATTTCATAACATAATTTAATAATTGTGTGTGCAAATAGTGATCTCATGAAGCATAGAGAACAGCGTACTTAAAATAGATGCACAAAGTAAAGCTATTAATAAAATAAATTACCAGTTCTCATCTTGAAAATCTTACTACCTGTTGGCCTTCTTAACAAGAATTTCAGTAATCTGCATTGTTTCTTGTAATAGGTTTTTGATGAAGAACAATGCTGACAGAAGCTATCAAAAATCAGCCAAAAGTATTCTTAGGACTTTGTTTTGTAAAGCATGAACCTTTAAAAAAAAATCACTGTGAAGCTACACCATGGAAAATTTATGTTATGTTCACTAGAATTCTGGAAATGAATTTTTAAACATATTAAGTAGAATAGGAAATCTCTTGGCAAAAAGCCGAGAATGTTCTTTTAAAAACTCTTCCGAAAGCCTTCCTATTTTTTTTTATTGTTTCAAAAAGAGTACTACTATGTGTAGAAAAAAGTTGGGGGGGTGCACACAAGAAGTTAATCGAATTGGGTGCCATTATGGAAGAGTGCTGTATACAACAGTGGTGTACAGATAAGTGCTAAGTCAATCACAACTACAATTTTCTAAATTATTGGAGTGATAAAAAATGATGCTATTTATATATATATGTATAGTAGGTTAATGGATGACACATCCGTCAGATGGACAGTGGTATAGTTACAAAGATGTATACATGGTGGTTACATTGTAAGAAATGGATGGTTTTTGATTGTTTTTTTCTTTTCCTCTTAAAATAAGATTGACAGAAGTTTCTCTTGGAATATGTTTGTAAATTACAAATAGTTATAACACTTGTATAGAAATTTTGAAGTTCAGAAAGACACTAAACCCTTGCTGCTCTGTGATATGTGTTTAGATGTTTTAATGTTTAAAAAAACAAGGTATTCTTTTGTTTGCAATATGGTAGAGACAATATTTATTGAAAAGGTAACGTTGACATTGAGACTGTGACAAGATTTTATTGATATATATATTGTTCATGTGATACCACGGATTGGAGAGTCCGAGATCTGGGTATTTCCAGCAGTACATGACTTTTGTTCCCAATTCTGTGACTTGGGCTTCACTGCTACATATATACATATATATATATTTGTTATGAAGCTGAAATGTTCACTATCGATTTTAAATTTGTTGTTTGTATGGAATGTGGAAGCATTTTTAAAAACTTTTTGCATGTACAATGTGTATGTTTAATGAATGTTCTCTGTTTTTTGATGGCAATATGATGACATTGAATGCATTCCCAATGCACTGATTGAGTCAGTGGCCTTAATTTTGTAGGATAGAGAGATTGAATCAACAGATTTAATTATTATTTTTTCATAAAATTCTGAGTCAATGCCTACATCAAATTCATTCCACTAGATGCAATTAAATGACTATATAACTAGATGAAATGTCAGGGAATGACATCAAAATTTTTCTATCCTGTTTTTAATTGGATGATTCTAAAATTATATGCATTCCAGGCTTTGAACATTATGTACGTTATGGTCACAAATAGAAATTCAAGCAGAAAAAGCATTATTTTTTACATTTATGAAAATCTAAAATTTGCTTCATTTTGGAGGTATGTAATACCGGTCAGTATTGCCATAATGTTTTAACCAAGTGTAAAAACTTTTACTAGTTGCACTATAAATTATATAAATTAAGTACTACATTGTATGATAAAAATCTTCATGCCATATCATTTTCTCTGTCAATTTCAAATTATTTATTTATTGAAATTTGTTATGTGAAGTGATAAGTGCTTAATTTCCTTCATGTCCTAATTACTTGGGAAATACATTAAACTTATATATTCTTTATATGGAATGTCTCTAGAAGAATATGAAGAAAAAAAACCTCTCAGGTCATGTTTTAATTTTTTTCTCAATATCCATGTACCTGAATCTCTAGTTAGTGGAAAGATCTGTTCCACCAAGGTTGTACCATGTTTTATATGTTGCCCTGTCTGCTTCAGTGTTGGCAGGCCAGCTCGCTCTGCTCTGTGACTGGTTGTGTCTGTGGATAGCTTACTGTTACCACATGTGTATGTCATCACTTATCATTAGGCCAAATTATAAATATATGAATATTTATTGTTTATTATTAAAATGACACAAATGATGAAATCAGAATTTTCTTGTTTCTTCTGTGTTGTTGCTGCACCCTCAAGGTTCTTTATTAAATGCATCAAGTCATTCGACAAATCAATTTTAATCACAGTGTAGCAAGAGTACTCTCCATACAATTTATTAGTTTGCAAGGGAGGTACTGAATTTTTAATTTGTGCTGACCTTCATGTGGAGCTAACAATTTTAATCACAATGTAGCGAGAGTATTTCCATCAAGTTGTGACCTTAATGTGGAGCTAGAATAAGTCTATCAGAGTGGGTCTATCAAAGCCAAAACCCTTAAAATTTCTGCAATATTTCAATATCTTTTAAACATTTGGCAAGTAGCAGGTAACATGATTGTATGAATATAGTAATAGAACTTACTCTTCTGCCAAAGGACAAGATAGGCTATGACCCCTTTTTGGCCCCTGGTTTGGGGTGTCTTTTAGAATGATGCAACAGTTTATCAATAAAAACCTGTTGTCACCCCTGCCACAAAATGAGTATTGGTTCTAAGTTATGGGATACACCGAAGTCACAGGAAGGTCAGAAAATATGTCAATTTCCGAATTTTCTCATTTTTATGCAATTTTTCATCGATTTTACAGCACATTTTATTTCGGAAAACAGAGCACAAGCTTGCCTGTCTACAAAATTTATATATTTCATACACTAGTATCAGATGCATCTTGTGTACAAAAATCTCAGATAGGCAAGCTTGTGCTCTATGTTTCCCAAAGTGAAAAGTATCTCAAATTTGACAAAATGCCACCAGAATATAGGAAATTCGGGAATATGTCCTACTTATGCACCCTCTTGTGGCCTCCATGTAAGCTTTGAATCAAAATTGGTGCTGGTTTTAAAACGAGCATCTTTTTAAATTCTTAACTACAAACTATCACAATTTTAACTGTTTTGATTTTTACATCAAATAAGGGGCCAGATTCGGCCCTTACCATACCTTGTCCTTTTCCCCTATATATTCATATGTAAACTATGTATTCATGTGTCAAATTTTTATCTCCTATTGTGACCCCACCCTACTCCAAAGGGTCATGATTTGGACAATTTAGAATATATACTGTGCCAAGAAGCTTTCACTTGAGTTTAAACTTTTCTATACCACTGGCGTGGAGATTTTTTTTAAAATTATCCCCACCTATTTTACCTCTCTTTGATTATCTCCCCTTGGAAGGGGCACAAACCTTCATTTGAACAATTTGAATCTCCTTTTCTCAATGTTTTGTGCCAAGTTTTGGATGAAGTTGGCTGATGCAGTGGTTCTTGAGAAAAAGTCAGCATTGTGAAAAGTTTACATATGGATGGAAGACATCCAAACAATTGGAGGCCAGAACAATGGATGATCATTGTGGCCCCACCCTTCCCCCGGGGGTCATGATTTGAACAAACATAAATCTACACTTTTTGAGGATATTTCCATATCAATATGACTGATTATGGCTTTGTTGTTCTTGAGACAAAGTTTTGTGAAGATTTTTTCCAATATATTCATATGTAAAACTTTGATCCCCCACTGTGGCCCCACTCTACCCCTGGGGGTCATGATTTGAAAAATTTCAATCTACACTATGTAAAAAAGGTTTCATATAAGTTTCAACTTTTTTGGCCCAGTGGTTCTTGAGAACAAGATTTAAAAAAAAAATACCATAAGTTTTCAGTAATTCTTAATCCCTTCACCCAAGGATGCTTTGTGGCAAGTTTGGTTGAAATTGGCCCAGTGGTTGAGAAGTTGAAGATGTGAAAAGTTTACAGACAGACGTACAGACAGATGACGGACAAAATGTGATCAGAAAACTCACTTGAGCTTTCAGCTCAGCCTAGCTACTCAGGTGAGCTAAAAATGGGACAAAAATATCTATGTACATAACTGGTAAATATTCTTCAAAGACTAGGAGACAATATGAGAAGTGACTAGATGGGCTTACTAATAGTGCTTAAGAACCATTGTTTAGCCCAAATGCAGAAAGTAACAAATGGGTGCAAACACAGGCAAGTAAATAGATCAAATTTAAGATTTGTTACCGAGCGCTAAATTAATTATTTTGCTGATCCCTGTTCATCCTATATTTCATTCTTTTGGGCAACATATCTTCATTTATTACATTTCAACAGTTAAATACTGTGATTTATTTATTGAATAAAAGTGATATTCTCTCACAGTGTGAAAGGATACCAAAATGATATTCTCTCACAGTGTGAAAGGATATCAAAGTAAGTAAAAAATAATTTCTGGACTGTCATAAGATAGAGATAGTAACTTAATAGAGCTAAAACTGCAAATTTCTTCCCAAATATGTTGCTAAAAGCCATGCTATGTAATGTTTTCAATCTCAGAACTGCTAATCTGTGACGTCTCAACCGCTCAACTATGACGTCAAGCCTATGATACTTTGTTTAGAAAAGACAGAGGCAAAGAGAAAATCAAAGAAAATGTAATAAACAGAAAATTCAATGTTTTGTAGATGAATATGGAATTTATTTCACGAGTGGGACAGGATTTTTTTTTATATTTTCACGAGTGCGAAGCACGAGTGAAAATATCAAAAAATCCTGTCTCACTCGTGAAATAAATTCCATATTCATCTACAAAACATTGAATATCCTCTATTTATCAGCTTATTTTGTATTCAATATATGGATCCTTTATAGTGTTACATTATACTCAGGAGACTGTCAAGGCCCTTGGGCCTCTTGTTGTATATACTGTTCCTATGTAAAACTTTGATATCCACTGAGGCCCCACCCTATCTCCAGGGTCATGATTTGTACAAATTTAAATCTACACTATGTAATGAAGCTTTCATATAAATTTCAACTTTTCTTGCCCAGACGATTTTTTTGCCACTGAATTTTCACTTATTCTAAATTATCTCCCCTTTAAAGCATTTGAATAACCTTGAATTCCCATCACCTTAAGGATGCTTTATGGCAAGTTTGATTGAAATTAGCCAGGGGTTCCTGAGAAGAAAATATTAAAAGTTCAAGAAAATAACTACTAGAGACAACAGATAAATTTTGAAGTTCACAAGCCCTCAGCTCAGGTGAGCTAAAAAGTAACAATAAAAGCGAGAGTCACTTTTCTTTCTGAGCTATGCGGACCATGAGGGTGGATGGTAAAAATATGCACCTGGTTGTCAAAAACATTTATTTTTGTGAATTTCAACCTCATGTCAGAGATATCCTTGAAAAATCCCATTTTAAATTATTCTTTAGATTAAAACTAATCAAATAAGCACTTTTAGAGACATGCCTGCCATGGAGGACATCATAATGCAAATTTATATATATGGTAGAAAATAACTGACATTGAAATGTGATTTCTTTCCAGATAATTGTTCTCTCCAATAGGTCACTTCTTTTTTTTTTAAATGAAGTAATCTTTTGAATCTATACTTTGTCAGGAAGCTTGCACATAAGCGTAATTTTTTTTGGCCCCATGGTTCTAAAGAAAATTTTTAAATAACCCTATCCAATTTTTGCCTTTTTATTGATTACCTCCCTTTGGATAGTGACATAGCCCTTAATTCCCCCTTATTGAAAGATATTTTATGCGAAGTTTGGTTGAAATTAGCCCATTGGTTCATGAGAAGAAGATGAAAATGTGAAAAGTTTGCAACAATGACAGTCAACAGGCAAATTTTGATCATAAAAGATCACTTGAGCTGTTGGTTTATGAAACTATGAAAAAACAAACCACCAACCCAAATACTGAATTTTAATTTTTTATTTTCATGTACATTTTAACTGCAACTTGAACATGGTAGAAAATATCAATTTGATAAAATATGTTCATTAAAAAGAAGTACAAATCACAAGTGTAACTGAAATGGGAACTTTTGCCATCAGAATTTTACAAACTTGTTCATTCCATGACTAGATGACCTCCTCAGATATTTTCACAACACTCTTAAATAAAGAAAAAATCAGCTCATGATTTGATAACTTGCATTCTAATTAAATTGTTTGCTGGCCATAGTGTAAATATAATATACAGTATATCAATGAAAAGAATGCCCTGACTCTCTGACGACACACATTCACAAACGGACATAGGTTTTACGTTGTTGGGTATGAGTAATCATGCTTGTACACGAGGATCTCCACACAACAACAGCATGACAAATTCTGGTAATGTTGCACTACTGAACAATGATGTGATGATGAACTGGCACCTCAGTCAACAGCGTGAAACGAGAGTTTACCATTATGCCCAAAATATTTCATTAGTGTGCTGAAGCACTGTTGACCCGTGATGAGAAATTGCATTAACTCTACACACCACATGCTTTAAGCACTGAGGTTATCACAAATACACACAAGCACATGCACAGTATATCAAGTCTTTTTGTCCTCTACATCAAAGTCCAGAACCAGAAGTTTGGTTTCCTCCGTGCCATTCCTACTTCCAACAGCACACACAAGTTTGGTATTACTGCAGCGCACACGCCATACCACTCCCCCACTACCCCCACTGTCCAGGGAGACCAGGTTTCTCAGAAAGTCTCCTGATTTTAAATCCCATATTTTAACTGTTCCATCATCTGATGATGTGATGACAAACTTTTTATTGAACTGGAGACAAGTCACAGCACTTTGATGTTTGTTTGGCCCTGAAAGAAAGAATAAATTTGAACTGGTTTACCAGAATATTGTGTTTTAGGATTCATTAAACCCCAGTCACATTTCCAAAAACAACCAAAATCCTTTTCCAAAAACAAACAAAGGATTTTGAGGCAAAAAGGGTTTTCGTAAATGTCTGCTGAAGATGAAAATCAAACTGCAGCTAAACGCTCGATGATCAGGCGATGACTGATCAACTTATAAATATTTAAACTCTTAAAGTCATCGATGTTCCTAGGAATAAATACGACTGCTCCACGTTGCCCTATACTAATATCGGCTGATCATGTTTTTCAGCCGACGATATGAGAAAAATTTCGTCGCCCGACCATCAGCTAAAATGTGACCTAGGCATTAGTTCTAGATCATATACATTGCAC